ACCATTCAAACAGGAAAACCAACGGTCTACTCTATATAAACAAACGAAAAACGAGAAACACTTATGAACCACATCAACAAACGACAACTACTGAACATCAGATTCCTAACTTAGGACAGGTGCAAACAATTGCAGCGGGTTTAAACGTTTTAATGGTACCCAACCTTCATCCTTATCTGAAACAATAGTGTAACATCACAACATAGAAAGACACACACTATAAAATATCAATTGAAAAGGCTTAACTCAATCAAAAGACATATTAACACCAGTGAACATACACTGAACAAATAAATTTAATCTATGATACAATGTTAATACAAAATAAATTAACTAAGGGAAGAATAATTAAAGTTACATGTTATACCGCTGTGAAATGTTTAACAATTTAAGAAAAACAATATGTTTGAACAAAAATATCAGCCATTTGCAATTACTTTAAACACAGGTAAATGAAAATAATTTTGTCGTTAGGTATACGTGTACCGTTCAAATGGAGAAAGAAAATGTTTTTACAAAATAAATAATTTTGACGTTCATAGTACGAAGAAGTGAAAATTTATAGTAATACCAAACACTTATCAAAGCTGGTATAAAGACCAGATATAACCCTGAATAAGTAAACATTAAATAACAAAAAAGCATTACAATTAGTATCAACAGGTCAAATAAACAAGAAAGTACGATTTGAGAGTACTCGCAGTTACTGACAGCTAGTTAAAAGCCAAAATCAATTAATAATAAAAAATCATGCATCAGAGACTAAAATTAACTAAAACACATCCCAGGGATTTAGTATTTTAACGTCATGGACAGTCAAAGAAGACATGACTTGTGCAATGCCAAAAATAAATGTATCGACAGGTAGTAGGCTAGTTAGGAGTTAACCTCTTTATAGATCAAAATGAACGTGGGTGTGTCTTTATACATCCCGTTTGAAAAGAATACAACTTTAGTTATGTTTTAATTTGCTGATGACAAAGTCGATATCAGTGCCAATGTAAACTATATTTAAAGATCTAATTACAACATTGATAAGATAACCTTTACTAATAAGCTTGTTTAAAGGTTCGATGAGTTTTACACGGATCACATAGTGATTTCCGCGCTTTAAATACAATATTACCGTAAAATTTAGGATGTGAAGCTTTTAAGTATTTTAGTTGATACAATAGGCCGGACCGTGTTCTCAATGGAATTTTCCTATAAAGAGGTTAAACGTCACTCAAAAACTACTTGATCAATGTTATGAGAAAGGCCTGAAACGATCCATTCACAAGTACCACGGTTGCCATTATGTATTTTATTTATCTTTACAGTGTTTAAATATTTCAAATCATTTAGAACATTAAGTTACTGCTGACACAATTTCTTCTGTACCACTATGTGTTAACTCTCATAAATACCGGTTTCGTCATGTTACTGGGTAAGACACATTTTATTTAACTTCATGTGACTTTGGAATCTAGTGGCGAATGATGCATGCATAGCATGTCTTAGATATACTTACCCTGTCGACGCACCTGGTTTCGCTCTGTTTTAACTTTGTAATATTCCGCGTTAAGTTTCAATCCGATGTCTGTCTTTTTTTTAACATCGGTAAACTATTGTCGCCTTTATTTATACCCGACTTGTAAGATCGTTTAACATATGTATACTACCATTATATCTTATTGCGAACCCAATGACTACAGTGCCATCTCTACCTGTCCCATCAAATGAATACAAAAGCTATTGTTATCTGTGTAGTTTATTCACTGGGACCTTTAAATTTCTTCTAAGAGAAATCTATCACTCATTGATTAATTTACCTGAGTCATGACAAATTTTTCTTATATATAGACAAAAAATACTTTTTTTATACTCATTAACGGCCTGTGATGATGTATTTATTCAAAATTGATAATATATTATCAATCTCTTCAATATAAACGCTGATTTAATCATAAAGATTTGATTTCTAACAAAAGTTAAAGTAATGTTACCTTTGAAATTTACATTTTTTTTGGTTTTGTTTAGTTATAGAATACATTTAAGTAGGTCTTAATTTGAACATCATAATTTTGATGGGACAAGAGAACTTACAAAAGTTTAAATACCTTGACCAGATAGAGATGGCACTGTGGAAAACTTTCATTGGGTTCGCAATAAATGATTTAGTCCATTAAAACTAGAGTATGATGACTGAAGTCTCTGTTACATTCATCCACTAGTTACCTACACTAGCGGCAACTTCGGACTTCATATATATTGCAATCTCATTTGTGTATACCTCAAACTCACCTTTCACAGATACATTTTTGCCTGAATTCTTGGGCACGCTTGGATGAAATTATTATTCATATTTATGCGTATAACTTAACACTCAACTCAAACCTGGAACAGGACAAATGTGTAAGGTGTTCTCATCAATAATGAAGAAAAATTAAATGTTTGAAATAAAACAGCCATTTCTTCTTCACATCTCAAAAGTAACTACTGTGAATTCATTTATTTTCGTGGGTACCAATTTTCGCGGATTCAGGCAAGAATTTACATTCATGGATATTTGATTTCGTGGTTTAGACAAAATCGGCACATACGCCTATAGATAATTTGCATTTTGTTGAACATGTTAATTCGTGGTTCGTCTTTTACCTACGAAATCAACGAACATAAGTATCACACGAATAATAATGAATCCACACTATCCAACATTTCAATTAATATTCAGACATTTCGATCTGTGATAAAGTTATTACTGTTCTAACATTTTCTATGCGATCAAAATGTTACATCTTTTTCTGATTGTTCATTATTATATCAAATTAACAATTGCTAAACAAATAAACTGTTAACACAGAGATATGTCTTGCCTATTTGTTATTTTGATCATGCAAATGTTGAAATTAAAATAGCAGTACTTTTACATGTAAGCTATGCAAACATGCAAGGTCAATGAACCATGACTGAAGGTACAGGGCTAAACAATCTCCATGGAAATGACTTGTGCCAAAGCTAATACAACTGCAAACTAGAGGCTCTCAAGAGCCTGTGTCGCTCACCTGTATTAACTGATGCTTTGGAAATCATGTAAAATAAGGTTAAAATCATAATTAATAGTATTAGATATTAGATATTATAATGATATCTAAGATAATAACAAAAAACTGCAAAATTTTTGTAAAATTACTAACTCAGGGGCAGCAACCCAACAACGGGTTGTCGGATTCGTCTGAAAATTTCAGGGCAGATAAATCTAAATCTGATGAACATTTTTGCCACCTGTCAGATTTGCTCTAAATGCTTTAGTTTCAGAGATATAAACCAAAAACTGCATTTTACCCCTATGTTCTATTTTTAACCAAGTCGGCCATGATGGTTGGAAGGCGGGGTCATCGGACAAATTTTTTAAACTAGATACCCTAATAATGATTATGGCCAAGTATGGTTAAATTTGTCTCAGTAGTTTCAGAGAAGATTTTTGTAAAAGATTACAAAAATTTACAAAAAATTGTTAAAAATTGACTATTAAGGGCAATAACTCCTAAAGGGGTCGACTGACAATTTTGGTCATGACAACTTATTTGTAAATCTTACTTTGCTAAACATTATTGCTGTTTACAGTTTATCTCTATCTATAATAATATTCAAGATAATAACCAAAAACTGCAAAATTTCCTTAAAATTACCAATTCAGGGGCAGCAGCCCAACAACAGGTTGTCAGATTTGTCTGAAAATTTCAGGGCAGATAGATCTTGACCTGATAATCAGTTTTATCCTATGTCAGATTTACTCTAAATGCTTTGGTTTCAGAGATATAAGCCAAAATCTACATTTTACCCCTATGTTCTATTTTTAGCCATGGCGGCCATCTTGGTTAGTTGGCGGGGTTATCGGACACATTTTTTAAACTAGATACCCTAATGATGATTGTGGCCAAGTTTGATTAAATTTGGCCCAGTGGTTTCAGAGGAGAAGATTTTTGTAAAAAGCTAACGACGACGGACGACGACGACGACGACGACGACGCCGACGACGACAACGACGGACGACGGACGCCAAGTGATGAGAAAAGCTCACTTGGCCCTTCGGGCCAGGTGAGCTAAAAAGTATACCATTGACTTTTCATAAGTCGTTCCCTTTAAACAAACCTAAACACAAACATTAACTTGTAAACTATGTAAAAGTTTCAAAGTCAATGAACCATAATGAGGGGGTGGGGTTATATAATCTCCACGGAAATGAAACTTGCGAATGCTTATACATTTGCATACCAAATATCATTGACTTAACATTAGTGGTTCATCTTAAACTGACCTAATCACAAACTAATACATGTAAACTAAGCAAAAGTTTCAAAGTCAATAGACCATGACTGAGGGGGTAAGGACCTAATATTCTCCATGGAAATGAGATGTGCTAATGCTTATACATCTGCATACCAATTATCATTGACCTACCACTAACGGTTCCCCTTAAACTGACCTAATAACAAACTAATACATAAAAACTAAGCAAAAGTTTTAAAGTCAATAGACCATGACTGAGTGGGCAGGGCCAAATAATCTCCATAGTAATGAGATGTGCCAATGTTTAAACAACTGCATACAAAATATCATTGACCTACCACTAGTGGTTCACCATAAACTAGACCTAATCACAAACTAATACATTGTTGACGCCTTCGCCGGAAACAGCATACCTATGTCTCGCTTTTTGATTCCGTCAAGGCGAGATAAACATACTGATTTCCATAGCAGTGGAAAAAATATCTTGAATGACTGCAAGAGAACTATCTGAACAAAACTGAAATTATCGCATGGGAAATATCTGAAAAAATAGATTAGAGTATACCAATCGTGATCACATCAAAATGACAGTTTCGGACTAAAGTACTTCAGACCTTGGTAAAGCAAATTTGTCTGAGGTAAATAATAAATAATCTAACAAAAAGTCGACCATTCCTAGTGTACAGTGTAGTCATGTAGTGAATATGTACATTAATTTACACTATATATTCATTTAGTCGTAAAGCCTTTATTTCAATATCAATTTAAATATTTACATCTATAATGAATTTATTGAACATTACAAGGAGTTCTATAGTAAGATCTTACTATCCTTTTACACTATTATTTGAAAAGAAACGATAATCACAAATACTTAAAAATTACTGCTACAGGAAAGTTGGACCAACATTTGTTTAAACATATTCTCTATTTTACACATTATAAAACAGAATATAAAAATACGAGACATATAATAAAAAATGGAATTGTACTATCTGCTACTTCCGCTTATAAGGAGTATCGCGTGCCAAATTAGATGATATTAATGAATCATACAACTGGGTGCATGAATGAAATGTACTAAATGATATCTTTTTTTTACAGCGAGTATCGTGTCTTCCATATTTTAAAACTCATGTATATCCGACACATTGCATACTATTAATAAAACGAGCATTATTTGACAAAGACCTGACCACTAAAAGTAAATTGCATAAACTCTGTCAAGCAGATTCTGACATAGAGTTTTGCTCATTACAATTAATAATTATGATACATATTTGTTCCAACTAAGCTAAAATCAGTTTTAAAAGACAAATTGTTACGAAATATACATTTAAAACATGATTAACATTAAAACGAATAGCATTATGCTCCAGGTTATGTTACTATATCAGTGCAACCATAATCATTCGCTATGGCTTTATGATGCAATCAAAGATTTGTCCGATACAAGAACATCCAAGGTAAATTTAACTTATAACTTTTATCACTTAAAATAAATTTTGACAGCAAGTTGATAAATAGTTGAAAGCTTCTTTTTCGTTGAGGGTTGCTGTACTCGAGTCGTTTGAGAAAAAAACAATTTCAAATCATTTGCAGTTCCCGATTTTATCATATCATGAATGTATAACTGGTAAAAATAGTTGGATTGTGTACCAAAAAATGAAATGGCAGGTTGGTTTTATTAAGTTCATAGTTCTAACACCTGTACATTTAAGAAATGTTTAAATACATTTAAGAAATGTTTAAATACATTTAAGAAATGTTTAAATACATTTCATTTCATTTCCAATATACCTTCAGTTGTTTATCTTCTAACAAAGGAATAGTGTACAAAACATCCCTTAATTTGAAATATCTAATATTATAAGTAATTGATACAATTGTACATTTACATCACATCACACATAGAAAATGCCCAACTATAAAATAATTGAATCATAACAAATCATAAGCAAATCTTTACCAAATTAAATATTAGTACTTTTGAACGGAAATCATACAATAACATATTAAAGTGAGATTTGTGATTTTGATGATTTCAAAAGTTTTTTTGAAAAAGTGCTTGAATCAAATGATTTGTAATAATTACAAATAACTTTTGATGAGCAGAATTATAAGGCTGATATCTTTGGTAATTTTTTATTATTAACTTTTGGTGAACAAAAAGTAATTTGGCTTTAGTTTTCTTCACATTTTTAACTGTATATGTTTAGACATGTATGTAAGTTACATTTTGAAGAACTTGTGATTAGATTCGATAGGACTCAATTCGATTTAAAAAAAAATTTAAAGTCAAGTATATATAATGGACATGATGAATTTCATGTTACTTTGCATATTCATTCAATAATCACACGAGAGTGGGTTAAGAAAAATTTTCCTGTATATTTCGTTGCAAAGAAGCACATTTTTACACAGGAATATCACAGAAGTAAAATTGTAACAAAAAAAATCCCAAGGTATAACATATACATAATATAGGTATATATCAAGGCTGTTATAGATTTGAACTTTATTTTGTATCTCATTAATTTGACTTTCTCCTTACAAGTATAAAAGAATTGATGTCATTTCACTCTTATTTGATAATCTCCTTGAATAGCGTTTGAGTTTTTGACAATAATTTGAAAGCTATTTATAAGTGCATACGGTGATAAAATTTATTCATATATTCCAAAGTTTAAGCGGATGTGTGAAGTATGCTCCAAAGTTTAAGCGGATGTGTGAAGTATGCTCCAAAGTTTATTCGGATGTGTGTTACTATGATTTGATAGTGATAAAGCATACTGATATAATACAGATTTTTCAATGACATGGTACTTTGATTTAAACAATAATAATTTATTTCCCACGAGTTTAACCAATCAACAAATTTTCAATCATAAATTGCAGCAGAAAAATGTCTAAGCCTTGTTCATATTATGCCAACTGACAGAAATTCCATCTTTCAATTTATCAGTATGTCTGTTCATGTGTGTCAACTCCCATTTCTTCATCCAAGGTCCTTCCAATGCAGTCTCAAAATCCCAGTTTTCTGATGGCTATAAAATAATGCTAGCATCATGAGCATTAAAAAAAAGTATAACAAGAATTACGAACCCAAAGGTAAATTCAAAAAGGGGGAAGTCCATAAAAACTGACAAGATCAAACGTATGACTTTATTAACAATCGGAACGAAAGGAATGTTTTTCTCGGGGTAACAATCTGCTCTATCACCCTCTCAGCTATGTATTCTTTATATAATGGTGTCTGCAGTCTATCTCTGTCTTTCCAAACATACAAAGCAGTTTTTATGTTTAAAAGTTATAAGCAAAACCTGTTAAACAAAATGATTTTGTATACATTCTTTATTCCTTAAATGAAAATGATGAAATACGGAGGAATGAACTTCCAGAGTAGCCAGCTTAGAACAATTACATTTTCACACTAATCAACTCAGGTATCTAATAAGACTTTGTATTATAGTAAAAACAAGCATTTCATTTTGTAACAGGAAGTTTAAACCAATACGTTCATATGACAATTTCGGCATCACTTGATTCTAATAGCCCTGTTCTAATTTCGGAAAAAGTCTGGTCATGTTGAAGAGTTACATAAGACTAATTTTGAGTGTAATGACTACAGATGATTAAGAAACAACAAGTCAACTTGACCTAGATACTTACCGGGAGTACATCGGCTACAGCATCTCTCTGTTTTTCTCGTCTGTTCACACCATCAAATTCTGTCCAATCAATCTTATAGTCGGGGTCCTTTGCTGATCGCATTAATAAGGAACCTTTTAGTCCCCAGAATCCTGATGGAAGGTCTGGTTTCTGCCATCTTAGGTCTAGACTCCACCTTATCTGGTTACTCATATTGGGTAAACTATATAAATCAAATTAAGTTATCTTCTTTATCTTCTAATAATTTGTTAAAATAAGGAACATACTTATCTGTTGGTTTACACTTCAAAATCATCAATGCACAACCATGTCTTAATTGAAATTGTTGAATTTTTTTTATCAAAAATAAAAAATAAATTAAGTTATTGAGCATTATCTATTTTCAACTTGAATAAAAAGTCACAGATACATGTTAAGACAGTATCTAAACATTGATACTGTAATTTCAGACACTGTGGTTGATTATCCACTGGTCTGTATATCTGATATCTGTCTAAGAATCAGGCAGTGGTGAAAACATGGCAAACAAAAACCCGCTCAGGTTTACATTAATCTAAGTTCAAAATGGTGCACGAATATATTAAAATTAGTTTTCGTTCTATGTTGTGATGTTACACTATTGTTTCAGGTAGGGTGAAGGTTGGCGCCTATTAAAACGTTTAAACCCGCTGCATTTGTTTGCACCTGTCCTAAGTCAGGAACCTGATGTTCAGTGGTTGTCGTTTGTTGATGTGGTTCATAAGTGTTTCTCGTTTCTCGTTTTTTATATAGATTAGACCGTTGGTTTTCCTGTTTGAATGGTTTTACACTAGTAATTTTTGGGGCCCTTTAAAGCTTCCTGTTCGGTGTGAGCCAAGGCTCCGTGTCGAAGGCCGTACTTTGACCTATAATGGTTTACTTTTACAAATTGTGACTTGGATGGAGAGTTGTCTCATTGGCACTCATACCACATCTTCTTATATCTATTCTTTTCCTGTTCTGGTATTTCAAGATATAATTGAAATACACTAGAAATTAACAATAAAGGGAAGCTAATTGCGTAATTTTCTATCATTCTAACCAAAAGTTATCTAGAGATTTCTCGAAATATCAGACACGCAGAAACGAAAGATCTACCATGTCTAACTCAGGATGAGGGTAACTTCGAAAAAAAGTTGGTTAGGTCGTCGGGGTTTTTTTCAGCCATGTTTTTAAATTCTTCTAAATTGATCGATTCTTACAGAGACTGTCACTTAAAAGACCACTTTAGCTTCAACATTCTCACCTTCTGTGTGGTATTAGATTATTCAAAAGGAGCATTCCTCCATAAGGTACAGGGACGGTGATGATATCCTTTTCCAAATCAATGTCTACAAATAAGTGTAAAAGAATAATGAGGATCTAGATGGGTGTCTTCTTTTCCGTATTCTTTATTTCTTAGTCATTTTCCTCCGTTCTTTATTTTTGGTTCATTTTCTCTATTATTGATTTCTTTAAATATTATTTCCATTATAAATTTGTGTATTCCAATCAACGGGATATGTTCAACTAATAACCAATAGGACTAAGACTATAAAGCATCGTAATTATAGAAACGAACGTCATGAAAATGACATATTAATCTAAGGTACTTCAAACTTTCTATAAATGTCATTTTCACTCATTTACTAATAGATAGTCCAAGATACATTTGTCTATTGTCGAATTCATATGTTTTTTTGTAAAGAGGAATGATATGCTTTACAAACCTAATGTTTTCTCCATCTCTTTTTCTTCTAACATGACATACCATGTATTTCCATAGCAACATTGGTGAGTTGCAACAATACCCTTTTGATGTCCTCCGCTTGCCACCTGAACATAGAACCAATAAGTTAAACTGTATCAATATACAAATGTACATTCTTTTCTGAACAGAATAAAGGTAATTTCTGGCTTTATTATGTTGTTGGGTTACTGTCACATTGAAGTTTATTCCACGTCTTTCTTTGATCGTATATGTTTAACGTCAAATCATAGAGACACTTCATTTGTAGTTATTTTCCTTAGTACACGAAACGGCAAATTGTTTAAACACATATGTACACTATGCAAAAAAAATCATAGTCCAAACAAAACACTGACAATTATTATTTAATGATCAAGACAGGTAATAGGAAAGTGGTCACGATTCTATACAAAATCAAGTTACAATAAAAGTCAATAATGAATAACAATACCAAAGATGTAACAAAAACAACGATGTACACCAACGATTAGAATACTTGCACGCCCCACAACTGGACAATAATGTCATTATCACAGTCAAGGAAAAATCTTCTTGACAAAGAAACAATTAGGTTTTTCCTGGAGTTCAATGACATATTCACATATTCAGTTACAAGTGTAAGTACTTCATAATATAATTATATTTAAAGGATATAGAGATAACATTAAGGGCATACGATACAGTTTTGATCCCATAATGAAATTTTGATGAAAATTTGCATATAGGCTAATTTTTACCTGATTAAATCAAATATGAAATAAACAATATAGCATCATGTGCTACTTTTTGAGTAAATTGAGGTTGAAATTTCAGATATTTCCTCAAATTTCGGATTTGTGGACGTTTTTTTTCTTTTCGATAGAAATACATATTTTTTTTGTTTTAAAAGATAAATGCAAGCTGTTTTTTGTTAAATTATTTGTAATTTCTGTTTTATATAAATGTTCTATAAATTTGTACATTTCATTTTTACAAATAACTCATATTAATCAAATGATTATGATTGTAGAAAAAAAACGTCATTTTTTGCTGTATATTTATCAAATTTAAAAAAATTGCACTATTGACTTTTTCATGAAAATTGGTAAACATAATCTTCATACGTAATCAAAACAAATGTCATTTTAAAAAAGAGGAGTCCATGAACTCGTTTTCAAGTTAAATCAGTTTGAATGATAAAAATCAGTCGAAAACTGCATCTTTTCCCGATAAGTCACAGTTTGGCGTCGCGAAAATAACAATTTACGTTAGCAACGTCATTACCTCCCCTGTAACTGTATCGTATGCCCTTAACTACTGATTGTACTGTACCAGCAATCAATGTCTCTTCGGTGATGCTCGAGGCAAAACTATTTAAAAATCAAAAACTTTATACAAACGTTGAAGCGCTTATCAAAACCAAAAAGGACCTAAAGTATAGCCTGATCCCGACAAGGAATCAGAGCTATGCATGAAGGAGATACATTCCTTAATTTAAAATAGTTTCAAAATAGTATAACAGCAAATTTCAAACAAACAATATCGGTATTTTCATGACAGAACCGAAGTACTAACTACTTGGCTGGTGATACCTTCTGGGATTAACAGTCCACCAGCAGAGATATCGACACAGTGGTAGTGAACACATTAACGGTACCAATTTGACTGATAAAGGCAACAGTAGTATACCGCTGTTCGAAACTCATAAATCGATAGAGATAAAAACAAATCCGGGTTACAAACTGAACCAGACGAGAGTGACTTTACGAAGTGTTTATAATATTTTCAAAAGTTAAATATCAACAGTGAAATAAACGTGGATATAATAGTTATATATATGCATCTTCTTAAAAGAGGCCGAAGGTACAAGAGGGACAATAAAAAGCTATAGGCAGATGAAAAATCAACAACACAACTGCAAAATACGGAAACCCACGAAGAGACTCATAACAGTCTGTAAAACACTACATAACATGACAGAGAAATCAACATTGAAGATCCCACCAAAATCCAAAAAACACTTCTTTATTAGAAGAAGTGTGTTTTTTACAAGGTTCGTTTCTAGCATAATAAATTTTATATAAAAGTAAAACACATAAAAAAGTTATTAATGGTGAACAAACCTGCATGCAACCATTTTTTTCAGTAGCATCTAGTAGTGGAATCCATGCTGTCGGCTGCAGGGTTTTGTAACAGTCGTTGTCAAGGTAACCACAGTCTACAAAAATCAAAGTATACACAATTACAACTTTCTACATCAAGATATATGGCCAATTGTCCTGAATTTGTTTCCCTCAAAATCTGAACGTAGATAAAACCTTATGAAATTCATTAATTTTAATGCTATAAATATTTTAAAATAAACGGTTGTTGAACACAATTTGATCGATTTCAAGGTTTTGTACAATTTTGAATCGGGAAAATTCCGAATCAAGAATCACTTTTGTAAATGGGAGGTTAAACACAGTTTGAAATTCCTATGCAAATTTATTACATTTAGATACCTTGATGCCATGGTACGGTAGTTGCCTCGCTCTGAGGAGTTTTTGTACGCAAATTCCATACCGGATGACCAGCAATTTCTGGGCCAATCAACTGCTCTACAACATTTAACAGACGCTCGCTGGTCCATAGATCTTTGAACGCCTGTAAACAGCAACACCATAAACATTAGTAAGTAAATAAAACAAAATATTTTCAAAAACAAAAAGTGACAAATGACAGTTCGATTTTGAGGTATTCTGATATATTTTGTAATCAACAGGCAGTAATAGTAAGGCCACAAACTGCCACAGACTTAATAACGGAAAAGAGATACAAAGAACGGCGCGACAATTTTTTTCTCTCTGCTATATCGTATAACTGAAAGTATGCCGTAATAATGGATATTTTCTAAAGTGCTTTTGGTTTTGTTTCGTATTTTAGCACAACCCCTAGCAATGTCTTTCATGGAGAGAACTATTTCTCGATTAGTTACAATTTCACACATTAACCAAGATGTTTCCCGATGTTAACCGACTGCTTTGTTTTATCGACAAGGTTGCACGTTTTAATCAATTATTTAATTAATTACCGTAACTGAACGTAACCCACCTGTGGCAAACCATCCCCTTTATGCATGAGAATGTTCGCTCCTGGCCATTCCGCCTCTATTGCTGTTAATCTCTCATAAAATCCAAGTTCTCTGTATAAATCTGAAAAGATGATTAATCAACATTGAAAGGAAAGCATAATATATTCTTATATTTACAGGCTTTTATCTACCTTTTCATGACATTCAGTTAGTTGTTTGCTTAACGTTCAGTGTCAAACATTTCATACATATCAACTGGGACTAAAATAATGGTCCCAGATATGCAGGACGATGGATCATCTCAAATTAGTTGGCCCTTTTGTTAATTCAGATATAGTGGTAACATTGCCACTTGAAGACTTTAAGAACCTGCCCAATGCATTTTCATAAAGAATAAGGAAGGCAAGGTAAGAAAAATTAAATTCGACAATGACAGACTAAATACATATATCACGTCCCTAAAAAAAAAGAGTAAAAATAAACTATGATCCAAAGGATACTACCTACATAGTATATTAAATATAAAGCAACACCGATCTCACAGAAGACTGTAGTCCAAATAATTATGACGTATTGAAAGGCTATTTTATTTTTTTGCTTTGACGCCTCCATAATTATGACGTCTTGAAAGGCTATTAGGAATGCGTCAAAGAAAAAAAATAAAATAGCCTTTCAAGACGTCATAATTATTTGGACTAAGAAGACTGGATGAACTCAGATTTCAGGAAGGCCGCGCTCGTGGCATCCGTCGTGCATATTACTCCTGTTTAAACCCCGGGTAGATATTATTAAAGGAGATGTGAGATATACATCACATAAGCAACGTTTGATAAAATTCTTTCATATATTGCAGAGTTACTTAGACGCCGTAAACGAGTAAATTATGTATATTGCATCTGTGGTAACCCTAGCCGGTAATAGGATATGTTCACAAGTGTTACATAAATGAAGTTTTTCACCTTTGCAATGTACTTTAAAAAAAACTGGAAAAAAATTGTTACGGTTCCATGCATCATTGAGATTTCTTCGACTCAGTGATCACAAAACATAAATCTATTGATACTCCGTCCCTTACATAGTAGTTTAATGAATTACGTAACATACAGTATTTAATACACACTCAAGTAAAATGAACGGGTTTTGCAGAAAAATTTATTAATATTATATATGTATTCTTGTTCGCATGTATATTTATGACCTTTCCGATCGAAAAATTATTTTTTATTCGGACTAATTAAACGTATGTAGAGTATAGCACTTTAAACTTAACATACGTACTTCCGAAATTAAGATCTCAAGGAAAACGGAACATGTTTTCGTATTTTTAAAAACACCCTAAACAGCCAAATGAACGTCATCCCCCCTTTTCGTTATAATTGGTATTAATACCTTATCAACTTCTGTGATTTTTATGAGATATAGAAATATGTATATATGAACAGTTTGTAGTTTTGATAAGGACTCCCGAGTAAACTGACGACTTCAACCAAGTTGACTTATCTGTAACTTTCTTTCTGATTATTCTGCAATTTTATGTTTCTATTATAGTTTTTAAGATTAAAGCTAAAACACAAAACGAAATTAGTAAAAATCATCAATTAAGGGAAATGACTCCTATAAGATTTTGTCAAAACGGACAATGTGTAGATATGTTTTAACACTGTTTTATCCTGTGTTCTATATTTAGCATTGATGACCATGTTTGTTGGAAGACAAAATCAATTAAAACTAAATACCCAAAAGGATGATTCTGGCCAAGTTTGTTTCAAATTAGCCCAATGTACTCAGAGGAGAAGATTTCTTGTACAAGTAAACGGCCGACGGGACGGACAACGACAGACGACGGACAACAAGTGATGGCAATAGGACAGGTGATCTGAATAAGGATATGTGGTATGGTTGCCATTGAAACAAGAAGACACAAAAGACCTCAGGACAAGGATTTAAACAACTACAGGTCACAGAACGGCCTTTAACAATGAGCAAAACCAATACCGCCTAGTAAATAAGCCATAAAAGAGCCAAGATAAAAAAAAGTAAAACAGTTTAAAGTTATTGGCTGATTGAAGCTGATATTATAAGAAAAACAATTATGACAAACAGTTACTATAACGACAACCATTGAACTAAAGTTTTCTCACTTGGGAAAGGCACATACAGAGTGTGGTTGGGTTTGTTGAGAAATAATTGTGAAGTCTACAGAAGCAGGTTAATGCAATCAATTTATCTTTTTATTGTTACATACGTTTTTTGTAGTAGGATAATTTTGCTGATTCGTTTAGAAAATCCTTTCGGGAAGACCAAGGAAGTAATAACACTAGTCAGGTTTGCACAACAAATGTTTGAAATCTTATTTTATCATTAATTAAATGAACTTCAAAACTTTTAGAGCTTGACGAATTGTATAGAAACTTGTCTTTTGGTGACGAATGTATCTTATCCTCTCAATGTCTTTTGAGTTTTGTGTTGTTGAGGTTCTGCTTTGATCTTTCTGTATGTCAGATAATTTTTCATCTCAAACTGATCTACTCATCTCAGTCAGGATATTCGATGAGATTGCAGCCGAGAAACTTCCTTTATTTTGTTTATTTCAAATATAATAAAAACTGCTCTTGTAACAAGTAAATGTTAAGGCTTACTTTAAAAAGATAAAGTACGATTTGCCAAATATATAACAGAGGAATAATCGTCAGTCAGACAAACCGAAATAAAATCTGGTTTTCTCTATTGTCGTCCGGCTATATTTGTTTTACTGGCTGTAGGTCTAAAACCGAACCAATAAACGGATCAGGCGAACCAATCGTCTCGAAATCCGAGAAAAGACTTTCCACTATGTGTTGTGTGTTAAAGTATTAACTTCGGTTAGCATTCATTTATTTTTCTCTAAAGCTTACTCTTGATTCTCTTTGTTTTATACAACTTCTGTGCAAGACATTCAAGTTGATCATTGATAGCATCTTTGCAGGGTTCCAGCTCGTCTTTCGTAAAGAATTTCTCAACAATGACATATCCCTGAAACACAATCAAGTAAATTAGGAGACGATCATTTAATATTCTGGGGCGGCAGCTTTATTTTCACTTTTGAGCACAACTGTTTCCTGCATTTTGTGTTGCAGATTAGTCATTTTCATCATGTCTTAAGCAAGGTTATTTATTTTCAGCTCATACCAGGCATTTTCAAAATCCTTCTGCCCCCATGCCAAACCTCCCCCAAGAAAATCAAATGGTCGTCCCCTTATAGGTTTAGATAAAATCGTTTGACATTATACCATTATAATGATTATTTTTAAAATAATTTGAAATTTTTCATCTTTAAAGCATGTTGAAGAGATTTTGTACACAAAAGACTATGTTTTCATTTAGAATGTAATGTACTATTATGATTTTGACGACCCTGCTATATCAAATTCAATCTTCTGGGGAATTTTTCACAATATCAGTCAATTAGTCACCAGTTAGAATTCAAAACATTAGATTAATCATGTCAATTAACATTCAAATATATATATATCAAATGAACGTGCATAAAGCATTAATATCAAACATGATACATTACATTACACTGCGAAATCTTACATGTATACATGGATAGTTGTCTCAATTGCAATCATACCAGTGTGACATCTCTTTATTTAATGTTGAGTGCAAATTTTGTCCTCAACACACATTCGACATCCGTATGATTCCCCACCCTTATGGAACTGAATTGTTTTTTTTTGGTTCAATAATATAGGATATTCAATAGGTAATTTTGTAAGTACAAATAATTCATAGAACACCATGTTTTAATAAAATAATTAATGTCACCATCATACATAATTAAGTAAGCAACTATATATATATATGTGTGTGTGTTTGAAAAACTTTAGCTATTATAAGTTTGAATTTTGTAACTGATGTACTGTATCATGTTTATCAAAATTAAGTTCAATTCTGTAATGCAATTATTACCTAGCTTTATACCCAATACACATTGGAGATTTTTCCTTTTTCATTTCTTAATACAGGTATATGATGTCATTTGAGAATAACCCCTGCCCCCTTTTTCAAAACTCAAATGCATGTATGTATTTCCTTAAATCTTTAAGTTTGCAAGAATTCTTTCAATGACTGTTTGTATACAGGCAGGAATTATTTTAAAAATGTTGCTGTGTAATTTGAAAGAGATAAATTGAATGTGTCTACACACATGACATTGGTATATGTGTAGTTCCTGCAAGTTTGCCGCAAGTTTGCAACAAACAATTGCCGCAAGCTTGCAGCAAACAATTGCCGCAAGCTTGCAGCAAACAATTACCGCAAGCTTGTGGCAAATCTAATTTGCATAATTATGTTTGCAGCAAGCTTGCAGCAAGCTTGCCGCAACCTTCATTTGGATGGTCGCAGGGCTTATTTTTCGGTAAGGGCACTAACTTAACCTAGGATATAAATGGTCCGATATAAATTTGATTATCTTAGTTTGAATTACCTAATATTACATAGTACTCAGCCCGAAACAAACAAAATACCAAACACTTAAAAGGATAAAGATAAGAAATTGATTGTTTAAGTATTCAGACAATTATTATAGATAATGATAAACGTATTTTTAAACCGTGTAATTCGTACATACATGTACACGTATTTAAAACCTTGGGAGATTAAAATCACTGAAATGAAAGAAGCAGAGAATTATAACTATGTCAGAAGGATACATTAGATGAAATAAGGGAACAGAAATGTTACTTTTAATTTAACAACAGAAATTATTAGAAAATTATCCCTGACACAGCACAGCAAACCTTGCAAGTGCCAGAAAGTGTACTTTTCTTAAATCATGATTATGACTTCGTTTTTTCTTTCTTCCTGTTGTAAACTCAATAATAGAGCTCTATTATATCTACTATCAGTGACCGCTGTAGATAGTAAAATAGCAATTGATAGTTAATAACAAATGTTATTTTTTGTATATCTGCCTAAGTCTAACACAGAAAAACAATAAAATAACGGATTTTGGAAAAGGGGGAGGGCAAAAGTACTGTCCTGTCCACAAGTACATGATCCATTATGGTTGATATAATGACCATACTGGATATATAATGACGCTCTCTGAACGTCTACTCGGAACTCGCTATAGGACATCCTTGGCCCAATAAGAAACTTAAAAATGGCTGAATCCGCCCCTGCTTGAGTAGGATAAACTAACCATTATGATCTTATGAATTTATGTGTGTACAATAAATTTAGTATGTCATGTATGTGTGCAGTATAAACATAAGCTATTTATATTATCGGCAAAATTACTTGTTTAGAAAAGAAAGGCGCATTTTGAATCAATACCATTAATGTAAAATGATGTGATAGCGTAAATATACAAATAATATAAGTGTACTACAATGTCAATAATATAATATCGCATAATTGTTTTGTTCGTCCAACGGATATAATGATTGATTCCTGTTAGAACTTACCTTTGTAAAAAATTGTTCTATTTCCTCATTGGACAGTTGACCAGGTTTTTGTTCTTTTATTTTAGGTCTGGCATTGAGATTAAAATGATCAGGAAAGCATTCCCCCGTAAATCCATGCTTTACTTCTGTCGGCATATTTTCTAGGTCCTAGCTGCGTAATTTTTCAGTTTTATTTTTATTTATGACCCGGATTTAAACCAGATTGTTACTATTTATATTTCAATTATGTTACGTAATACATTGTGTACACAATATCACAGGTAAACTGAGAGTTACTTGGCGGTAAATTATAAAAAAGGAAACCAATTCATAAAGTTGCCAATCACCTATTTAAAGTGACATTTTCAAACAAATTGACAATGAGAAACGGGCATGAAAAAATCTATAGATAGATAGAAAAATGAATCATAGTAGTTTATATTTATCCATTCTACAAAGAGGTGTCCGTTTGCCAATAATGGATGTATAAATACGCAGCAACGATCGGCATAGGGACGTTTAACCCGATGACATGTATAGAGTCTGAGCAAGTATCACGTTGTCTGCACATGAAAAAAAACCCATAGCAAGTCACTTACTTTAAAAGGGTTCCGTGGGGGGCCTGTTGCAAGGCACAAGTTCTATTATTATCTAACACACTGTCTAGGAGACAGATTAATAAAAGCAATTTTGCTGCAGCTTGTTTCTGAATCCTATTTATTTATTCCATGTATCAGAATTATATACTATGTATTGTTTATTTGAATAAATATTGTTTAAACTAACATACTCTCATTTCCAGTGGCACTCTTAATATCCGTCTTGATCCCGGTCGACCAACATTGATGAACCCCATTCATATTTGATTTATTTTGAATACGCCCCGCCGTCCATATGCATCAAATATTTGCTACTGTACGTTTAACAAAAATCAACCAACAGGCCCCTTTGTAGAGTAAATTATTAATGTTTAAAGTCAAGAAAGTATTGCAAGCGGCATTTCTGAAATTGAGTTGATTGGTTAGGGTGTATTTGTTTCTCGTTTTGAATATTCGCTGATATGAACACAAGAAAAGAAAAACGAAGAATGATTTCTAATTCTTAAGAACGTAAACTCACGTTTTGTTTTTATAATAAAAACCAATTATTGCAACAACAAAAATATTCCAGGACAGTTTATATTAATTAGACTTTTCTTTAACTTAAAAGAGCCGTAGACTTTTCTTTAAGTTAAAGAGCCGAAGATCTTATGAACTAAATAACATTATTAGGCAAAGAATTAAAGATAAAACATACCCAATGAAATGATTACAATGACAGTAATGGTATCAATTTTACCTTCAAAATATGAGAATTTCGGAGAATTTCATTAACAAATGTCTCTTCAGTGATACTCAAGGCCAACACATTTGAAAATCCAGAATCTAATACAAACGTTGCAGAGCTTGATTGTTTTTAATCATTTCAAATCTATATACATACCTAATAATATATTTGTTTTTCAAAAACACTTTATTTATTAATTGTTGAAAAATTCCTTGCCAAGGTTTTCTTACATTTTGTTAGAAGTGAAAATATCTATAAAAAAAAAATGAATAATCACTAAAACAATTTACCAATGTCTGTAAATTTTATTTTTACTTTCTTATTTCTAAATAAGGTGGTAGATCGCGTATATTTGTTAAAATAATTGTTGATAATTTTCTCATTTTTATTTCATATCTTTAAATTTGATTAACTTTAAATGATATATATCCAGGCGTCTATCAAGGATTTCTCTGAAGGGTGTTATTTTGGACCCTGACACTCTGATTTTATAGTAAAACTTCAATTTGAATATCAACTTTAACCGCATATTAGGGGACCGTTGAGCACTAACAATTATGTTTAACCCTGTCACATTCTGTATATATTTATGCCTGTCGAAAGTCAGAAGCCAGTACTTCAGTGGTTGTCGTTTATTTGCTGTCTGTCATAATTGATTTGATTTTATAGAAAATGAAAGGATATCGAGTAAATGTACATGGGACAAAATCGCACACAATACATAGAAAACATAGAAAAATATCAATGAACAGGCTTTTATTCCTGTTCTTCATCTTGACAGTTGATGTAGGGTCTTCAACAATGAATGAATCATTCATACCCTACAACAAGGTCAAAACGGCCCCTAGCGTCGATTTAAGCGGTACTATAATTGATAAAAATAAACCACAGTTCACCTTCTTGCTCCCCACCCGCCTCGGAGTGCCAACTTATGCGATGCTTGTGTACGACAGTTTAGTTTATTGTTTTGTTATGATTGAGGTCTTTGGATTTTCATTTGAATTTATTTCACCAAAAGAAAGTTTCAAGAATTTTTCTTTTCTATTAAAAAAATTGTAAATTAAATAATTGTGAATTTTTGTCAGACTTGGACTATTTTTGTCCTATCAATATTTTTGACTTTTTGTCCTGTGACTTTCTGTCCGTTTTACTTATAATTTCATAAGCCAATATAAACTTTTATAGTTGTTCTCAAACTGTCTTTTAATTTGGTATTTTAGGGTTCGTTGTTTTTGGTACATTGGAAGAACTGTTCAATCCATGATGTGACCAGCTGCGAGCCTGCACATCGTATTGCAGATCGTCTGTCTTCATGCATTTGAGATCACCAAATAAGCAATGCTCGACATATCATATATACCAGGCTATTAGAAGAAGACATACGAATCAGAATGTGTTCCTGCAATCAAAATACCACGCCGACAAATGTCTTCAAACACTTATTTTACACTTACAGTGATAATGATGCTGACAAAAAGACATTTGACAACAAGCTCAACCTAAATAACTATTGGGACTGCAAAAATAAATGTTCATTGTCAGTGTGTGGGACTAAATTACTCCGTTAAAACCACGAGCAGCGTACATTTTAGGACTGTTTACCTGCCTATGTTTAATACAGTAAGAAGGATGAAAATTCCTGTCAACAGACTTCTAGTGACCACATCACCGTCAGTGTTTTCTGTTTTACAATAAAGCTTAAAAAGTCAATTCATAATTAAGACTACATTTTCAATGTCGGATGTTTTGAGCAGTAACATGCATCAACACATCTTCGCTAGCCAAGGGTTACGATCCATTTCCCTCCCCTCCACCCTTGGCGGATTGAGATAGAATTTCGGAGACACAGGGTAATGATTTTCATTGGTTGCAGTCGAAACTCGCTGCATCCAATCAAAAAGCGCCTATAACATGATCACGTGTAAATGTAGAAAGTGTATGTAAACAATTGGCACGTGCTTATTGTGCAACAAGTCTTTACATCCCTAAACATACGACTATATTTAGTGACAATTTGAATGTTTTTAATCAATTAATAGAAGTTCCTGTGTATGTTTCTTGCACAAATGCATGAATGTCAACGTATATTTTCGTTTCCTGCTTTACCAAATGTGTAGAATCTAGACGCTACCGTGTTTTTACCTCCAAATTGAAGTGTTCAAGTGCTATCATTGGTCAAGAATAATGTATTCGGAATGGGCGTGACTTTAATCTACAGATAGATGGCGCAACATTGTTATCACAAATGTAGGCTTAATCTGCCAAGGGTGGAGAGGAGGGAAGTGGATCGTAATCCTTGGCTAGCGAAGATGGCATCAACACTAGTTTACAGCAGACATCTTATTTACAGTTACATTATAACTTCTATAGTCCTGTATGATATTCTGTCATCTGTAGATAATCTGAAGTAAAATGAAAAGGTTAATTATGGCACGAAATTGTCATCTATAGTTGCAAACAGGCACAACGTTGATGAAACGGCAAATTAGAACTTACACTTTTTGTCAGCAGTAAAATTTATTTAGGTCATGATATCACCAAATTTGAAACAAACTTGACCTATGTTCAGATTTTAAATTCCCATTTTTTACATTTTTAGCTGAAATAATCTGAAGGCTTTGAATGTCGTTTGCGCGCCAAATGTTGTTATATCAATTCCTTATACAAATCTGTATAAGTTGCAAAAAGGCAAAGTTTCAACAAAAGAGAGAATAGCATAACTGTTTATAAGCATGAAAAATGTAATGCTCAGTAAATTACTCATAAAATGGTACACAATAGTCTACGAGTTTGATAAAGAAAAAGCACTAATGTCTTATAGATGGTTGATGTAAAGACCTATACATGGCTTTCTTGGGAGAACAGAAAAAGGATGAGAACTTAGTCAGTGCAAAAGTGACATACAGTATTTGACACCAAGAAATGAAGCATATATACCTTCATATATTGCAAATATAGAAAATTGTATTAATTCCGTTAAACAAATTGATGAGTTTCAGACCAGACAAAAGCATAGAAAACATAAGACTTTAAAATATAATGTTCAAAACGCACTGGCATTTGCTAATATATTTGGTATCAAACCGCTACAGTTATCTGGTGTTTCTGAAGGTGGAAATAGTGTTGTGTTTAAGAATTTGAATCAGTTCAACAGTGAAAACAATTTAAATTCTGATGAAAAAGACAAACAAAAACAAATTGTATTTTTGTTAAACAAGTTTTGTTAAAGTGATGCTGCCTATCATAAACTTTCAATGATTTAAAATGGTATGCCTAGAAAATATTCGATTGTACAGTGTAGCGAAAGTTTGGGTAAACCTTTTTCGTATTGAAAGGTTCCCTAGAAAAGTAACATGGGCAATGATAATTTTGTACAAGTGAGAGGTTTAGCGCTATAAAACCAGGTTCAATCCACCATTTTCTACATTTGAAAATGCCTGTACCAAGTCAGGAATATGACAGTTGTTGTCCATTCGTTTGATGTGTTTTGTCATTTGATTTTGCCATGTGATTAGGGACTTTCCGATTGAATTTTCCTCGGAGTTCAGTATTTTTGTGATTTTACTTTTTGTATTCTGAAGTTAAAAGAATTATTAAAGAATGGACAAGAGCATAACAAATTTTATATAAAGATTTCTTTTGATTGTTCTCGTGTCAGCAAATTTAGAATTATGTATTTTTTTCTATACAGATTGTATCAGTTGACAGCACTCCGTCTTACACACATTCACATACAGTTAGAATAATAAATTGTCCAGAAACTTAGGAGAATTTAAAAGTTAAATTAATGTCAACCAAACTTAAACCAACTTAATGGTTAAGCGAAAAATAAATCCGTTTTAGTAGATGGTTGAAATGTAGAAATTGAGATTTTTATGGTATGTGTGGTGACATGATATTTTTGAAGATTCTTTAAGGCCTATTTGGCTCGATAGGCAACTTCGATTGTCCATTGACACTGGTGCAATGTTCATAAAATGAAAACTATGAAATATCAAAACCATGGGTTTTTACCACTCATGTGATAAGTCTCGCACACACTATCAGATTGTTTCTGTAAGCAGTTAGAGTAAACGTAATTATGGTGTTAAGCATAGTCCTTTGATAAATGTAGACATTAACCATATATACTATACCAGATGAGCTTCATTTAATGCCCAAGACAACAGATGCTATTTTTTTTAAGAAATATAATTTATGTTGCAAAATACAAAGATGATAAAATAAAATCATCTCGTAATTTACTTTAAAGTGCAGATGATATAGATAGATTGGTTAATGTTATTCGGAGTTCAAATATGGACTTACTAGGGAACCTCTGATTTAGAGTGGACCAGTTTATCTGCTTCTGACAAAGTCTAATTGTTAAAATTGCTTCTTATAAAGTTGTCTGAAAATGCAGTTTTGCATTTTGATACAGAAAACAATGTTGTTAAACTGTGGCAATATTTTTATGCACTGTATATGTTTATATTAAGGATGTTCGTTACTCTGTTTCAAAATAACAAGCTTTTTAAAAGACTGTTATAAATTGAAAGTATACGAATAAAGGAACTTAAAAAGCAGAAAAAAAATGGAGGGTCCGTGTGCTTGTTTTCAAGATATAAGCCATTGAAAATTTGGCGGGAAGTAATTCGCTCTAGATTTTTCATAAAATGAGCATTGGCACCTTTTTTCTTTCAAAAACTATGAAAAAATGACAAGGATTTTATAAGATTTTCAAATATGGCTTTTTAAACTATATGTAATAAAAATATGAAAAGAAAAGTAGGGATTTGCGGGCAAATTTTTTTAATGGCACTACATGGATAAAACCAGAGGATTCCGAATATCTGGTAAAAATTAAAAAAACAAGAGGAGCGAACATCCTTAAGTAAGAATTGTGAAGCATTTACTGTGATAGTGATTGTTTGTAAATTAAGAAACGTTTAGGATATTTTATGTCATGAGGAAAGTCCAGGAGAGGTTATTGTATCCAATACGGACTAGTGAATGTTTTTTTTTCAAATCAGGGTGCTGAAAGAGAACAGTGATACATCAGCGAAAAAGTTCAAAGTTGGATGGTCCCACAGAAGGTTGTGTGGAAAATGTGTCTCTACAAATGAGACCTTATGAAAAAAATATGAGTATTGGGAATCTAGTATTTGTACATTCAGACAAGCTAAACCGAAGTAAATAGAGTAATGGAGTATTATAAGCTCATATTGTAGTAAGTACATGTAAAATATAGATAAAGAGAATTGTCAGATTTTGAAATATAAGAATTAACACATAAAAACAAGGTTGTAAAACAAGATTACGCAAGCGCAAACAGATTATGTATTTGTTGAAAAGTTTATTGTAATTTTGAAATGTGCAAAACTGATTATTTAGTGTTTTATAGTTGATTTCATTCATTGGCTTTCATTAACCTTTAGTGTGATTATGTTCTCCTTGTTACTATTTAATACCAAATAAAGACCACAGAAAAAGGCACTCATATCATAAACTTTTTATTTTATTTAAATTTTACCAAACTCACTGGAAGGAAAATGTCTTAATTATGATGTTGGATTAGTGTAATTTTGGTTAATATTAAGATTTAAGTAATTCCGTGAATCAAAACAACAAGAATAAAAGATGTGACATAAATGTATATATATTATGATATCTTCCAAGTTCACAATTAATTTATATGCTTTTCTAGTGATAAGCGTTTTTGTGTGTAATATAATTCCTAAACTTTATAATTTATGTCTTCGGAATATAATTCCTTAATGTTATAATTTATGTTTTCGGAATATTTTATCCTAAATGTTAAAATTTATATCTTTGAAATATAATAATGCCTTAGTCTAACCTATAATAAGCAACACATAATATACAAATCTATTTAAGTGTGGATTAATCAGTACACAAATTATTACAATTACACATGTCAAATAAAATCATAAAATGTCCAACAATGTAATTTTAACACACTATTTAGTATGTAAATATTAAAGTGTATAATTTTACAATGTGACAAAAAATATACGCAATACTTCGCTAAACAAACTATAAGCTTCATCGGGCGTTCTTCTATCCGGGTGAAATCGGATGCAGATAGGAAACATTTGCAGCTCATTGTACATTCCATTTTGCTGCTTGATAAATAACTCGGATAAAGTTTAAGTTTATTTATTTAACTAATTTGTTTTTTAAGTGAGGTAAGTTTTCAACGTCCATTGGCCAATATTACAGAAATATTAAGGACGATGCCACATTATAAACTTTTTCTTTATCTTTCCTGTACCTTTTTTTTTTTTCTTTTTTCAAAAAAAAAAAAAAAAAAAAAATGCATGGGGTTTTAATAGTGTGGTTTTAACTTGTGTACCCATGTTTTTTCATTTTACTTAATGTGTACTTTGTCTGGAAAGTGCATATGCCATTATTGTGTGGCAGGATTAGCTAGATATATAAAACCAGGTTAAAGCTACCATTTTATTCGAACATGTCAGTTGTTTTCCTTTTGTTACGTTTATTGATATAGTCGAGCATTTGGTTTTGTCAGTTTTTATTGACGATCCCTTTTTATTTACTTTGAAGTTCGGTATTTTTGTCAATACTTTTTTTTTGTAATGAACGCTGGCTTGTTGAAATAAACACGTGGCTGCTGAAGCGAATTTAAACACTCCAATCAATTTCTTTTTGACTTGTCACTTGTTTTCCAATCCATGTATTGTATTGATGTACGTATTTATTTATCTGTTTCTAAATAAAATATTGTTTACACTAATTTCTTTTGTTCAAGAACTGGCCCGTTGAACCTTTTTTTAACCTTACTTTTCAAGACGAGACGCTCTTTGAGAAAACCCTGCGTCATTATTTTTTTGCCCAGACACCCATGCCGTTTCAGTTCGAGTAGTAGTTCCAAGCTATTGAATATCGTATGAGTTGAGAAATGCATACTCCATACGCTAGTGAAGTTGGAATATTGCTGCTAAGGTAACGAAAATATACAAATTCACAATTGAAACCGTCTCGTCTGTCATAGATTTTGGTACTGAGATGACCGGTGTAGTCAAATTCGAGATATGTCTCAAACTGAGGCGGATGAAGCTGTAGCTGTGGTATCCCGAATCTCTAGTTCAGAAGGATATAGCAATGTGATCCAATCAGAAAAGTTTGAATTGTTTTTAACTTCTTGGTTTTTACAAGTGTTTGAAGGATCTCCGTCCATATGAAAATAAGAAAAGGTCGTCAAGGAGAGTCGCACAGTTGGTTTCAATAGGAATGCCGACAACCTGCTGGAAAATTATTCCTCCAAATTCAACAAATATGTTGTCAATAAGAAACTCTAGCATACTGATCACTTCGTTCTTCGGTGTTGCATGTTAACAAAATACGCCGACGTTTATTCCAAAACAATAAATTTCCACCGTATGGTACTTTTTTTTATAGTAAAGCTTTGCTATTTATTACTTTTAGACGGGTGTTCAATTTATCATTTGGTATGGTTCATAGTGCAACACCAAAAGTTCGTTGTACATTACTATACTTGCTAATTTACTGAAGAATTGTGTGCTCTGTCATCAATTAGTAACACAAAGTATCAAAGTGCTTGTAAGCACTAAAGGGTAAATATTGCATAAATTATCAGTGGGAAGTGAATTTAAACCTTGCATTGTATAAAGCATTGGATATACTACAATTATGGACAAAGGTAGATAACTCCAATCTTAAAGATTACTTTAACAATGACATCATTGATATTTTTAGAACAGATATTAGATTCCTGCACCTTGCACAACTATGTAATTTTCTTGACAAGTTTAACATCATTTTGTAACTTCAATATCTGAGCATATATTTCATTGATAAATTTCTGGAAATGTTCATGGATAGGATGTTAAGAATGTTATGATCAATACAATATATTTTGTGTATCTCAAAAGTAGTGATAAACCTTGGAAGATTTAGATATCAAGTCAGTACCATAGGGTTTTTGATTCATGCAATCTTTACCCAATAAAACAAAACACAAACATCGTTTTGATGATTCTCTTTATGTTAAACAGCATACTTTAAGTTATGTTTTGTTACTCGATAATAATATCTCTAGAAATGATTATTTAACGAAGGGACAATCTAAAAAAGCACAGACAACACATAGAACACCATGTCTAAGTCTAAAAGAAGTAATACAACTTTAAAAGATAAACACCAGACCGGCAAGGTTTATACAATAAAATGAAGATAAAACAACACAAACCCAATTTCAAACTGAAGGTGAACACAGTTCCACAGGAAGGAAGCCATTCCTGCTCCACTGTATCTGTCGTGTCACTGGTAGAAAACTGGTAGAAAAATGATGTACCACGAAAAGAAGCAATTAATTCTAAACTAAAACACCATGGACCCCCGTCTGATTAAAACTGGAGATAAAATCAGGTGCCTTGTATAATAAATAAAATCTTATCAGAGACCGGAACAAAGAAGAAGAATACAGAAGTAAGGATCATGACATTTATTTTTATTGTTTCACATATTGGCTGAGTGGACCGCTAGTTTGTTTTTGTAATAAATTTAAAACATTTGTTTTTTGTTCTTTCTTTTCTCACGTTTCTCGGGCCAATAAAATGGCAAATGAAAATGATAATAAACAGTAGTAAGTTGCCAGGGGATTTTGCTGATATTAACTATGCTTGATTTTCTTCTTCACATGATCTTGTAATATTTTCTTTTACAGCAATTCGACCTTTTTAATATAATCAGTGGTAATGTATCTTGTATTTTACAAAGTGATATATACTATGTATAGAAAATAACGAGAAAATAATTGTGAATAATTTATTAAAAAGGCAAGACAATTGGTGACAGCTCCATCTTAATTTTACAATATAAATAGTGAATTTCGTCTTCATCCGTCTGCGTACTATAACCATAGCAACAACATACTTTTTCTCAAGTGAACAAAACATGGTACCTTTCCAGGACCAACATAGAAAGCTTGGTACATAACATTGACAACAACTGGTAAATATTCCAAAAGCATGAAATACATATATAAACAAAATATTGAGAAAATTTTGACGGAAAGACAAAATTGCATAAAATATTTAAAAAATAAAGGCAAATGTATATAAATGTAAAAAAAATCTCTAAAAGTTCTGTCACTCATTATATATATATATATAGATATATATAAACTTCACATTTTCACATTATCATTCCATAATATCACAAACCCTTTGATCTCAATATAAGCGACTAATACACCTTGAAATAAAGCTAGGTTCCACTTGTTTTATGTTTTTACTACTGGCTGCAACTGCTCTATACAATTAAAATTTTAACAAATAAAATGAACAGTTTTACAATATCTTTATCCAAAACATTTTCAGTAAATTCTGAATAAGGTTTAATAAGCAATATAAATCAAGCCAGATTATTATCTATTCACTGCGCCAGTCTGTTCTTTAAATTTTTAATTGTAGTTTGTTTTCTGTCTGTGAGTGGCTTTCTCCTATAAAATGAAATAAAAAAATTATCAGTAAGTATATTGAAATATATAGGTGTTTAAGATCAAACGCATATTGAATGTATTTAAAACATGCAGATGTCTTTTGTTCGATATCGTGTGACTTTGTGCTGCTATCTCACTGACACATCTCCTTTGATATAGAATAGGAAGGTAATTTTTTTTTTTAGAAAAGTTTCGAGTACTTAACTCCGCAAAGGGGCAAATGCTACAAAAACCATTTTGCATAATTTCCTTTTATTAATCATACACACAATTTGATTATCCTCTCTGCATACTCAATTGCAAACTTTGAGATGCCCTTAAATACACATTTACATTAACTCAAACATTAACATAAATCATTGAGAAGTTGGCTAGAATGGTCTGGTTTGCTTTTTATTTGAAAACGATGGCCTGAAATATCCTAAGCTGTCAATTACCTCTCTATTTTCGTTGATAAGTGATGTTTGGACATTTGATCCAACACCCCATGTTTCATAATCACGGAAGACAAGGTCATTGATTCCGGCATCAGATGCAAATCCACGTGCAAAAATCTATAAATAGTCAAAAACATATGCTAATTAGTTCAAATCAATACAGGTACGTACTATATACTAAAATAGAAAGGATGTATTTCGTTATTGTAGGATCAGGGGATGGTGCTTAACTATTTCTGGAGTAGGAGAAGCTGTTCGTGTTGAGATAATGAGATATATGAGATTTGAACGTCTGTTTGTGACTGCATTTGAACATCGATAAATTACTGTTGCCCTTAATTGATCATAAACAATGTTCATTTCAATTTTGAATGCTTTTATATTAAAAATTCATTTACCTAGGATGCCATGAAAGCGGGAGGTTTGGCTAGCCACAAAACCAGATTCAACCCACCATTTTTTTCTGTCCTGTACCAAGTCAGGAAAATGGCCATTGTTATATTATAGTTCGTTTCTGTGTGTGTTTCATTTTAATGTTGTGTTTCTGTTGTGTCGTAGTTCTCCTCTTATATTTGATGTGTTTCCCTCAGTTTTAGTTTGTAACCCGGATTTGTTTTTTTTTTCTCAATCGATTTATGAATTTCGAACAGCGGTATACTACTGTTCCCTTTTTTAAGGGTTCATACGTCACTGTTTGGTTTCAAACATGCAAAACATTCGATGTAGAAGTTTCCAAACCTATCAAAGTATCAATAGTATTTCATTCTTTGCAAAATTAAAATTGTATAATTAATTAGAATACGTTTTGATATCTTTGGCGAAAGGCGTAAAGACTATCAATTTGGTAATTTTGGGAAATTGGTTCAAGGTGATGTCATAGAATTAATGTATTATTTCTAACATGTTGTATACAAAATGAGAATACCTTGGTGGTATTTTATGCAATTGTATAATGTACTTAAGACGTGTACTTTAAGTTTGTACTAGAATAATACTTCATAACTAAATAATTGAGCTTACCTTCACGGACTTGTTTGGTTTCAAAATAAAGTTTTTAAATGTGTAGACATACTCTTTCTGTCCATCAAGCTCTCTCTTCAATTTCCAGCCATCTAAATTGATCTCCTATGATAATCAACAATTATAAATAAATATTTTAATTACAGTACACATTATCCAAGGTAAACTATAAAATGATTTGCATAAACTATTTTAAAGTTAAATTTTAGTAATTATCTTTATAATTTGAAAATGAATACAACTGAATTTTTTGGGGAAAATATACATGCAACTTTGTATTGTCGGCTCCGATACTTCTGGCAGTTTTGTCAACCTACCCGTCTTTGTGCACTGGTGTTTTCTAAAGTGATATATTTTCCTTCTGGGTGTACTTCAGCGATTGAGACTGGTCCTGTCGATGTTTTCTGGTATGTTGTCTTAGCTGATACTTCGCCTCTCATCATTTTCATGGACGAATGGGAATCTATAAACAATAGCACACCTTGTCTATTAATACATAGTTCGTTTGATTATAATAACTCGTGATGGGGAAGAATTCGCAAGCGATAATAAAATATGCAGAACACTTTTGAAGCAACGTTATAATATAAAAAAAACATTACAAATCTTCCTATATGTTTTTCTCTTGCCTTTGTAATCTTTTGAAATCTTATACTAAACCAAAGAATTGTAAAGAAAATATAAAACATGCAATACTACTTACTTAAATTATTGTTTTCAACTTTTGAGAATATGGTATATTAAAATTTTACACTAACAAATATTTTGGCGTTTAAAACTCATAAAATTACATATCTTAATTATATAAACTTTTGAGAATATGGTATATTAAAATTTTACACTAACAAATATTTTGGCGTTTAAAACTCATAAAATTATATATCTTAATAATATAAAGCCCAAATAATTTTGTCTTAAGTTTATGATCATTTGTATCAAGTCGTGTCCCTATGTTGATCGGGAAATACTAGTATATCAACTACGCCTGGAAAGAAGTTTAAATTTGCAGACAGCAATTGTCTTAAAAACTATAGCAATACACAATTTTAAGCACTAGAAAAAAAAACCCAGCTGCTGAGTATATATGTAATACATGCATAAATGTTAACACGCATATAGTCTTCTAATTAAATGAAGTTTTTCAAAGGATTCAACAAAACATTCAAAGTACTTTTAAATATAGAAGTTCTTGATTAAATGCAAACATGTAAGTATAAATCAAAGCACATGAGGCAAACTAAAGCTCTCTAGAGTTAGAAAAATCAACAAACGAAAGATTAATGAGAATGAAATCATGTTTGAAATGAGAATCTTCCTTCCTCTTATACCGAGTATGGTACTTCCATTTTCGTTACATCTTTAGTAAAAATAATAGTTTCAAACAAACATATTTGTAATGTATTAAATAATTTCTGAATTGACAAATTGACAATCTTGAAAAGTTTCTTAAAATAATAAAAACAAACTAACAAAATGTTAACTATTAAACGGATGTAACTTTCATGGAAGCAATCATGCACTTACTGATATAAAAAGAGGGCAAAACTAGTCATAGTACTATCTATATATAGCTAAAGCTTATATACCACCACCTAAGCACCACCAACCATAGTAAATTGTCATAAAATTAGGGGAAATTAATAAGGATTTTTCATTGTCGACATAAATTACCCAGCGATTTGATAGATAAAAACACATCTAGAACAACAATTAACATCTACATATAAATCAAATAAGTTTCAAATGTAAGAACGTGAAATTACTGTCAAAACGGTTTTAAGAAGACTGAGAATAGATGTTTTTATCTTCAATAAAGATGATGGAAACGTGCATTCAATAAGATTATTTGTATGTTAGTAAAGTAAACCTAGACCGATATAATTCATTAGTTGTATAAGAATACTGAGAATATACGTGTTTATCTTCGATAAATATAATAGACAAGTGCATTCAGTAGGATAATTTGACTGTTAGTAAAATCGACCGATATAATACATTAGTAGCTCCACTAGCTCCTCTATTCAGTGAAAAATTTACGAACCGCCCTTAGTTTCGTATTCTTGGATCATTTCAGAAAGTTGGGCTGCTCCTCTACTTTGTGTGTTCATGGATTGTTCAATTACATTCCTCATGCCCACTCTGTATGGAAGAAATAAAAAGTAAAAATGAACAAAAGGAAAGGAAAACAACATTCACCAATGTGTCTGAAAGTACCTTCCGGATTATAATCAGGTGGGTCGTCCGGATCACGTGCTTCCGGTTGGACGGTTGGATTTTCAATCTCTACAGTACCTATAATGTCTATAGGAAAATTTTCATCGTTGAAACGTCTATAATAACTTGCTCCTCGTATTCGTTCAATGATATGAGACCTGTTATGTGAACAAAATGAATGAAGACAATGAATATTAAATGGAACAATGACTCAACAAAATGCACAAACATGCAGCATCAAAGTTTGACAAATTGGCAGGTGAACAAAACAGTGTATACATAAAGCATAAGTAACCTTCATCATCGTCCATTTCATCGTTCTTTTGGTTCACATTTTGACTATTGTCTTCATCTAGGGGTCCTTCACCATTTACAGTTATCTTATCATCTTGATCAGATGTTTCTTTGAGATCGCTCTTTTTGTCAGTGATTGTTTGGCTTTCAGATTTTGATATTTGACTGTCGTCTTGATTTTGTTTATCACTGATTATATCTGATTGATTTGATTTTATGTCATCGTTTTCATGAACATCGTTTTCATCTTTACTCAGTCCTATTGTGTCTAATTCTTGTGGCTTATTTGATATGTTGCTTTTTGATTCCTCATTTTGATCTTTAATTTGCTCAGTCTGATCCTTAATTTCATTTCTATCATTTATTTTTTCTTCCTGTTTTTTATCAACTGTATCTGTTGTTTGTTCTGAAATATCATGTTCTATGGTTTTACTTGCTTCTTTCCCTGGTTCATCATGAGAAGAAACCTCTTCGCTTGAACCGACATCATGTTTTATGCTTTCGTGATCGATGGCATCATCTACGTTTATTTGTTTTGTGTCATCCATTTGATTCTGTTTTGATATGTTATCAAATTGTGCTTTTCCATCAACCTCGAAATCACCAGGAGATGCTTTAACATCAACAGTACAATCATCAGATTTTACTTTCGTATCATCATCGCATTCGACCATTTCATTATTTTGTGTTTCTACTGTTTCCTTTGATGACGGCTCGGGACTTTTACGTGAATCAGAACTGCCGACTTCATTATTTTGATTTTCAATTATAATGTCATTTGTTTTGTATGTTACTGAATTATCAGTGGTTTCTAGTTCCACTTCATCCGAATTTTTACTTGGAACAGAATCTATTTTGGTTTCTGGTGGCTTTGATTCTGTTGCCGTGTCCTCATTAGTAGATTTTACAGCAGCTTTATTGTCGTCAGTTTTTTCAGAGGTGATATCATCAGTTACCGATTGTTTTTCCTCAGGCAGATCGTCGTTTCTAATCTCAACATTACCTATTTGATCGGGCTGTTTAATCTTTGACTCAGCTTGGTTGATAGTTGAATCATCATCCTCTATGCCTTTCTTAGAAATTTCCGTATGAACTTCTTGTTCTTTCTGATCTAAAGGGGACTCTACGCTTTCAACTTTAGATTCTACGTCCTGTTTGTCGTCTAGTCTCTCACGTTCGTCATCATTTGTACCTTTCACAGAAATGTCCGTACGAATCTCATTTTCTTGCGGACTCTTCTGATCTAATGGGGACTCTACACTTTCAACTTTAGATTCTACATCCTGTTTGTCTTCTAGTCTGACACATTCCCCATCCGTTGTACATTTGGTACTTTCTGTTGGATTTTCTGTTTTGGACATTTCGTTAGGTTCAACAGTCTCCTCTGGTGTAATGCATTTAACCGTTTCTTGGTCACTATACGACTTCTGTTCTACTTCCGGTTCATTTAATTTCGACCTCATTCCATCATTCCCTGCTGTTCCAATAGTGGGTGGAATTTCATCGTCTGGAGTTATATCCCTTTCGGTCTGCTCATCGTCAGCAGAAATACCGGTGCTATATTCGTAAGATGGTTCTGGTTTATAGTTTACTGGTGAGCCACGAAAAACACTTCTCATATTGCTAACATTTATCCCAAGTCGTCGTAGCCGTTCCACTCTGATATTTTAAATCCAAATGCAGCAAAAAATTGAACAACCACTTTTCATTACAAAAACTAATTAGATCAAGTATATATTTGACAAAAATTAATATTATTATCTTTCCATATGAATTGGTTATGTGCCTGGTATGCAAAACAGGTACTTATTGATAATTTAAAGAAATCATTTTGCTCATTTGCAGTGAAAAATCAATTGAAAAGCAAATTCTTGAAAATTCCGTCACCTTTTGAAAAATCATTAGGTTAAAAAATCATTAGGCAGAGTTTGGTTAGTGCGAGTGCAAAGAGTTTTTACCTATTAAACAGGTCACTGTAAAACATCTTAGACATAAAACAAAGCATCACAATATCTATATGTTATTAATATGTAAAAGAAAAGTACAGTTGATTATGTATCTAAAGATAGAATACAATCAATTATTGATAAACGAAATGTTCCATTAACGTTTTGAAAATTTGCCATTTAATAACCAATAATAAAAAGTCAATGCTTAAAATTAATAATGTTGTTAAACTTTTTGAAACTGGAACTTGGCTTTTAAAGTTTTTTGTAATAAATAAAAAGGTTTTGCTTTAATCTCATTTAGATACTGGTATTCATGCTTAAATTCTGAGTAGTATTTTACATCCACATTTCTTTTCCCCTTATAATTCATCAAATTGACTATACTTAAGGTAATTGGTACGTAAATAGATGATCTCGCAGAATTTTATGAAAGTTTGCATACAACTAGAGCATGATGGACTGCACATGACTATCGAAACAATTATATATATAACTTTCATACTTTCTGAGATATAGCAAATAAAAGATTCAGAAAATAGTAGTACAATTGTATAGAATACACGTAAATATCACAAAAAAAGTTCAGCAATTTTGACTTAAAATTAACTTTTCTCGAAATCCTGTCCTACGAATTTTCCTTAAATATGATATACCTTTATTTACTACTGAAATTTCCGTTTTATTGGTATAAAATTTATAGGTGGTCACGAATTCGTTTTTTGAGTATGAATAGTTGAATCTTCTGTACAGCGTGGAAAAAGAGCCGAGACTTGAATGATTCATACAGCAAAAACGAATTCGGTGACCCCCTATAACTTTCATATTATAAAACGGAAATTTTAGTGGCAATACCATATTAGTTTTAAAGAAAATTCGTAGGACACATTTTTCAGAAAAGACAAGTTAAAGTCAATGTTTTCAATATTTTTTTTCTATATTTACGTGCATCCTATTCATTTGTACTATTTTCTACAGAATATTCAATTTGCTATATATCCGAAAGTATAAAAGTTACTTGTATATTTTTTTCGATATTCATATGCAGTTCCACATGCTCAAATTGCTTGCAAAATTTCATAAGAATCCGTGAGATTGCCTATTTACGTACCTTTTACCTTAAAAGAGTTATCTTTATTTATATTTTTTCAAATTAATATGAAACATTTTTAACAATTTTATATTATTTTAAGTAAGATGACATATTGTGAAATATTCTTTTGTTTCAAAATCTATCAAAAGCATTTTTTTTTTTTCATTGTATACTTGACATGGAGAAAAAGGAAGAAAAACCCATGTCTTTCTGCTTAATTTTATTAAGTAGTGTTGAACAACTTTGGTATTTTTATTTCGTGTACACTAACCCCTTTCTTACTCTCATTATATTGAACCAAATGTGCAATAAATGAGCACTAAAGAAAATAATCATTAAAACATATTCATCTTGACTTCTAGAATAAAAAAAACTGCAACAATAAAATCACAATTTTTGTAGATAACAAACCTGCTTTCTTCACTTTCCAACAGTTTCCTGTAAGCGGCGATCTCAAGCTCCAATGACAGTTTAGCATCCATCAATGACTGTAACTCAACTAAGATTGCTTCCATTTCTGACCTAAGGTTGGTGATTTCTTCCTTTAGTTTAACTGTCTCCATCGTGTGTTCACTCTGTATGCTCTCATATTCTCTAAGTAAGCTGTTGTATTGAGATTCTAATTGTGCATTCTAAAACAAATAGATATAAAAATAAGGAGATGTCGTATGATTGCCAATGAGACAACTATCCACCAAATTTCAAATGAAGTGTGTGTAAGCAATTATAGGCAACCGTATGGCCTGCGTATAATATGTTTTGTTGAATCAGTTTCCAACAAATATTTGAGCAATTTAACTTTCGGACAACTGTGCATGGTATTTGTAACGTTTCATTTTTTTTTTTACATTTATATTCTCACTGTATACTCTTTTTCAACATTTCATTGTAAAGATTAAAGATAAAAACTTATTTCACGACCAACAAGCATGAAAGAGAGTTATCTATCTTTTAAGGACGGTTGTTACAGCGTCTTCCAGTATAAATAATTTAATCTTTAAATAGAACAGATGTAAGGATTCTAAAAAGATAATCTTATATTTCTATCTTCATAAACTAAGCTGAAGTACCAAACTAGAAATGACTTTAACAGATAGTAAAACATAACCACACACACACACACATGGTCATCAAAATTAAGCTTTGATTTGTCTTTTACGTTTTGTTTTGTTTCTTTATTTAATGTATACATGCTCTGATATACTGTTTTGTTAACATTTAATTTGGTAGCTGGGAAAGACTTCATATGTCTGTCAAACATGTGTTTTATTCAATTTGTATTTGAGCGAATAAAATATGTTTAAGGGGGTACATAACACTACAGGGAGATAACTCTGTAAAAATCAGAAGAACGTTTTAATCACGTTCTATTGTTTAGGAAATGTTAAGCTTCTCAATGATCAAAATTAGTGTTTGTCAAACTGCTATATATCCAGTGAAATTTTTCCGATAAAGTGTGTGGTTCAAGTTTTTTTAAAATTTTTATATTTTTGTCAAAGGGTCAAAATTAATTCTTTGTCAAAATTTTATAAAAATTAAACGAGCCAAATTAATTTTAGTCAAGGTGTTTGGTACCACCTTAAACTAGTAATGACTTACTCTTCCTTCTAAATCGGCAAGTCTTCCCTTCAGGTCTGATATGCTCTTTACTAATTTCTTGTTTTCCTCTTTCACATGTGTAACCTCCATGTTTTGCTTAGTGGCACCTGTACGGAATTCTTGGACCTAAAATTTCAACAAAAAAAAATATGGGAACATAGCTTTGAATTTTAAACAAAATATTGTAAAGGTTTTCAACTTAAGCTAGCAATTATTTCGGTTGATATATTTTTGTATAGTTTGAAGTTCCCTTCAAGATAAAACGTTAATTTTGATTTACATTACCAGATACTCAATTGTTAAAATTTATTACAGAGCAAAACTAAAGTATGCATAACATTTTCGATATATATTTGCAGCAATTGAGTTATCTTTCGTCTAACAGAAATCACACAACATTGGTACTCACAGAAATCGTAAAGACAAAATATTTAGCAAAATTCTTTTTAACATTCACTTTCATATATATTGATGATGTCATAAATCATATAGTCATATCTTATATATTGATGATGTCATATCTAATATTCATAATAAATCTAAATTGAAGATAAAAAATTATTCAGAGACATGGCTATCTCATTCTACTAAATGACTTCACAGGTCTCAACCATGAAGAACCCGATCAAATCGGGTACAGTGACATGCAAAACTCGAGGGGAATTCACAAAATGATCTTCTTATGCTCTTATTTCTAAAATAAAATATATTACCACACTTCAACATGAATTGACTACCTTAATTCTGCTATATTACACTCACCTTAAGATTGTAGTAACTCTCCATATCACCTCTCAACTGATCGACCTTGTTGTCATATTCAGATTGAATATCTCGGATAGCTTGAGACAATTCGCTCTTCCAGAATTCCCTGTTTTCTTCAGTGGTGTCTCTGTATGCCAAAGCTGCCAGTTCTTTGAGTTCCTATTTTTGAAAATGTTGTATGTAAATACCATGTTTAAGTTATCATACATTGATCAAAGGTGTACTTGGTACATATAACAGATGTGAAAAAAATCAATACAATAAGTGCAGTGTATTTCATATTCATTATAATAACAGTTTTTTTATCCAAGGAACACGTTGTTTAGGTAATGTTATATCGCAGGGCAGTCTACCTCCTATAATGATCTTTTAGTTTAACTATTGTGAAAATATTGATATATAATTGCTGGATAAAAATCTGCTAATGAAAGATTACATAATGTGTTAGAGTAAATTTTAAATTTAATGGAAACTATTATTCAATTACTTGGTTCACAGTTTTTCTGAATACTTGAAATGGAATCAACTGTCTAAATTTTCTTGCAGCTGTATTCCAAATCAACCTAAAGAATCAAATTCCCCATTTTGTCATTTATTTATTATGTGCATAGAAATTGATTCAATATCAAATCATTGCAAACGTATTTCAACACCAAAGGAATGAGTTTGTCTGATACAATTCATCAAATTCAGAAAATATCAACCATTTATCTTTGGTAGACTTTATTTTATTGGTGTTTATTTATTTATCTCTTTATGTTGCTTGTTTTTTTTTTATTTCAGCAGAAAGCAGATCTCCCACATGGGTTATACAATTGGATGGTTTCAGCTTCACATCCCAAATAAATCAACAAATTCAATATTATAACATGTCAGACAGTATATATAGAAACTGCTGAATTGTTTTGATATTTGGGTAGTTTATATGCAGTGTCAGCATATTGATTTGACTTAACGCTGACCTGGCAATATATATATATATTACCAGCAGCAAGTAATGGGGTATTTAGAATATGATAGACTCCCATGTGGGTGATAGAAATTGAATATTCTTTACATTTGTCTATTCAATTACGTCTTCATGTTCTTCGGTAAAACAATATATTTGTCTACACATGGTACACAGCATAACAAATAATACTTTTATTTCATATGATGTTAATGCCAAGTCAATTATATATCGATTTCATATGTCAAAGCATTAATTATTTTAAGAGAACAATTTATTATTATGTGAGATGCTCTAGTACATGACTGTTCCTTGTCAAAACATCTTTAAAAATGTTGACTGCTTACGGCGCAGGACCGTTCGTTAAGCATGACCGCAGTATGGTGTTAAAGCTGAAAATGTACACCAATAAGTTAATTTCAATGCACTTCGCTTTACCTGTTCATGGACCTTCTTCAGGAATTCCATCTCTTCCTCAAGTGTCTGTCGTCTGTTCTCAGCATCTAAGTGGTTCAATGTTTCATTATTCAGGTCCTGTAAAATTAGATAACTGTTAATGCGCTCATGTCAAAAACTTTTAGGATATTTTAGATTCCTTGACGTATTGACACATCATTGTATTAAGCAGCAATATCGACTGACTTATATTATAACAACTAATCAATAAAAGATACATACTTAAATTACTTCAATCAATCAACAAATGGAAAACCGAAATTTGGAAGAAAAAAAAAAACACAAAAAAAAGCAATACATCTGTTTTGTGTATGTAAATACCATAGTTGTACATGTAATAAATGCTGACCATGCAGTTCCGATGCCGGGTTATGAAGAAAAGTAAAGTAAAGTTGCATATACGTGCATTTCTTGTCATTTAAAGATGTGATTTGTGTCATGATTGACCATATTTAGAAAATTAAAGATAATGTATGGAACATTTAAATGTCAAGGGCTTCTCCCACATTTAAAATGAAACAAATGCAAGTTGATTATTTTATATGCAGTACTCTGAAAAGGGAAATAGCTAACACAAATCAATAGCTGTCTGAACGTTGATATTTGGACAATTGAAAAAATACTAAATTCATTTATTCCGAATATAACAAACGCATGAATCATTTATTGATAAAGGAAACAGATGGACAAAGCAACAAATCTGAATTATCAAGCGCACTCATGATTGCGTATTGTTGTAAAATTGCATTCCCATTTTTCGATTAAACTGATAAAATATAACAGAATTATTGTCCCTGTTAGTAGTGCTATTGAAAAGAATACTCGACTTTGCAGTTTGTAATTACTTTACATTCGTTACGTAATGTCGTTAGTTATTGCGTGAACGAACTGTTAATTTTACGTTCCGGAATACTAAAATTGCAGTTTCCCGTAATTGGTGGAGAATATAACAGAGCTTCGAGTGGCGTAGAGATGTGTCTGGATAATAATACAATTGTCTTAGAAATAAATGGCAATGTAAATTATTGTAGATAGCCAGACATTACAAAATAAGGAACGTGTCTAAGAATATAAAATTGATGGTTCTTGCACGTTAACGAGTTCAATCAACTCCTGACTTTGTATGGGGTGTAATTTTGTGTAGACAAATAGGTGAGTTATCGCTCCTAGTTAACTTTCCTGCAAAGATGGTGTCAAAGATGTTGTGATTCAAAATAACGAGATATCGAAATCAATTTGATACATATTATCTGAGGATTGTAAATTCGTTCTCTAGAAAAGTCTTCATTTTTTCAGCATAAAATATGGTTTGAAAGAGTTGCTGATTGTAACTCGCTCAACTTCATCAACTTAAACATCTAGAGATATTAAGATTACAAATTATAGATTTTTTTTTAATTCATTCAAAATACCAAAAGCAAATTCATAAGATACATATGATTTGAAAACTGGATTTATCTTCATAAAATGCCCTGAAGTTAGAAACTCTAAAACGAAAATTTGAAAATTCATAAGGGATACTCAGATCAAGTTACTCAGAGGATAGATATCACTATGCCCAAAAGTAAAATGGTTGCAAAAAAAATATAGTAAAATAAGATTGATCAACATAAACCTCTCGAAACACTATATGTGACATCAAGTTCTATAGAAGGGTAAATAATACCGGTCCCCTAAATTAACACACTTTAATATCTTCTTACATGAACTTTTTTTTAAAATTTTCGGTTTCAAAAGCAAAATTTATTCAGAAGTTACAACTTACGATTCTTAATCTGTCAACCTCGCTTTGAAGTTTGTTGATTCTTTCTTTGTCCCGTCCTCTTTCTGTCTCAAGTGAACTGATGGTCCTTCTAAGCATGTTAATCTCGCTTTCATAATCGGATAATTGTTGATTCAGTTTATTTATCTGTTCTTGATCAATAGCGTGATACTTCTTCAAATCGTCCATTCTATTAAAAAAATTGTATGTTAAGGTGGTACCCAACACCTTGACTAATATTAATTTGGCTCGTTTAATTTTCATAAAATTTTGACAAAATGTTTACTCTGACCCTTTGACAAAAATATACAAATTTCAAAAAATTTGAACCAACCACTTTATCAGAAAAATTTCATTGGTTATATAACAGTTTGACAAACACTAATTTTGATCATTGAGAAGCTTACTATTTCCTTAACAATAAAACGTAATTAAAACGTTTAGCTGATTTTTACAGAGTTATCTCCCTGTAGTGTTAGGTACCACCTTAAGTGTAAATTTTCTTTTAAAAATTATGGGACCGACATGACTTTGCTTTAAGGAGTGAGTGCTTAAGTGTAAACTCTCAGTTTTTAATAACGAGGCAAGTAGGACTTTACTTTATGGTGTAAGCATATTCATACAATAAGCATACATTGTCGGAAAATACATAGCTTCAGGTACATGAGGAAAAGTCGAGCTTTACCGAACAAATAAAGATCGGCGTTAAAATGTTTGGTTATTTATCCCTAATTGTTGAATTTCTTTTTAAGAATTGGCATTTATTTGAGTAGGTACGAGAAGAAGACTCCAAGTTGAACTGCTACGTGAAGTTCAGAACAGCAATACATGGATTACATTTCGGTCAAAGCAGGGTATCAGCAGACGATAGGTGTATTAATCTATACGAATATCGTGAAAGTTTCTTTGTTGTATTCTATACGAATATCGTGAAAGTTTATTTGTATAATAAAGCGGCTGATTAAAAGATAGAGTTTCATCTTTTGGTACGTAATAGTGGTTTCTAACATTTTCTAAATTTACACTTCAAAAATGGAAATTTAAAATACAAAGCAGATTTTGAAAGGCTGATTTTTTTTATAAATAATTTAAACTGTAATAATTAACTTAAATCACCCAAATTATGCAGTGTTGCAAAGTATGCCAAGAAAAACATACAGTGCATCAAATCAATATTACAAAAATCAATACAAGTTTTTGCTTTGTTTAATTTTGTATTTTCAACATGTTTCCGACTAACGATAATTCTGAGGTTAAGTCAAGTGAAGAATGAATAACCACAATATGATACAAGTCTATCAAAAAGTCAATACGGTTTTGTGTGTGTTTTTTATATAACGGAAATTTGAGTTTTTGATTTCATTGTGGATTGATATCTTAATATTTATGATGAATGCCAATCAAACCGCACCAACGTCTGCTCATTGAAGTTGTATGTAGCTGATTATGCTATGTTTACATATACTTTTAACGTTAATACTTTAAGATTGTTTTTATTTCAAAGACTTGTATGTATATATAATTCTAGACTTTGAATATGGTATATATCCGTATAATAACTGATGGCATTCAAGAAAGTATGGTGCGTAAAACATGAAAAACTGTTGACTTGACAAAGTCAACTGTGTTATTGGATCGAAGGACTCTCGGGATCTTTCCAATTTATTTTACACTACCTCTGATCTTGAAAGCTACTTTGTATGTAATTGGTTCAAATTATGAATGATCTTCGATCTATATTACGTTTATCCTCGGTTAAAAGATTATTTGAAAGAAATACTTCTTAACATATGTAAATATTGATATATGAAAATGTCAAATTATCTATTAGGGTTAACTAGAGAACTTAATTCGGGGTAGACATCTGTACGGATCTATTCATGTAGACGGATCAATGCAGAGAAAATGGCGTTCAATTCAGATGTAACTAGACATATTGAGAATTTTTAATATTTCGCAGCATTTAACTTTTAAAGCTTAAACATGAGGGTAAACTCACGGGTTGATAGTCTATTGACAATTTAAAACTCTAATATGACTAAGTGTTTTCAAAATCAGAAATATCAGCGAGCGTGGGTGTTGTAATCTACATGTATCCTTTATCATAAATTTGCATATACTAGTTTTTGGTTGTAATCTATCTTTTATGTTCAATCTGCATATACTAGTTTTCGTTTGTACTACTGTAAATTTCTAACCACTAACTTATAGTTTAAAACTAATAATGGGATAATTCAAGGTGAAATATACTATATTAGTGTACATTTAAATAGCTTTGGTCTACCGAACGTATTAGTTACGCCGTTTTAAATCATAGTATAGATTTTCTGGTTTTATGAATTAATAGTGACTGAGAATTTAAACTTGTTTTCAAAGGGTTTGTATGATAAATATTTTACGGTTGGTGTACTACAAATGTACAAGTACGGCCTACAGAATACACTATAAGTATTCTAAGTTTAGTCCTCCACCAGTTAAAACCTTCGTGTACTAAATACACTTTATATTAATATTAAACAACGCTGTTACTCATCTATTTTTATCATTTGCATGGGTGCGAGAAAAAAGTTGTGTATGCACCAATAGTTTGTCAATTTTGACAAAACGTAAGGTTAAAATGATTGAATATTTCTTATACATGCAAGCCAAATATTATATTTTACAGGTGAATATTTTAGGTGCAATAATAGTTCAGTTGTGAAACTTGAAAGTGTATAAAAAGATGATAAGCCTAAAATGTTAATGACTGGAAGATCCGTTCTGATGTTGGGGAGGACTAGGGCATAAAATCCGATGTCCCGTGTTGAAAGAGGGTCATGTTAAATATATGCATGTTTAAGAATCCCCTGCAATGCGTCATTTCAAAATGCACCATTTCTGCCATTACCCAGAATCTCCTCATGTGACAGTACAAGTTGTCAGACCTTCGTCCTTCTCGACCCTCATTGCACAACATTAAGCTACCTACTTATTCAATAAGTTTTCGTCCGGAATATGCATGATATATTTGACACAAACAACAATAAATCAAACTTATACACAACAAAATATAACCTCTTAACTTCGCGGGAAATCTCATTCAAGAATTTTCACCCATATTTCTTTTGAAAATGTAGTTAAATCTTTTGTTCTCTATAACATACCAATTTTAATTAATACTACTGAAGTGGGAATGATCCTTAAAAAAACGTCGTTTGTACGATATAAACAAAATTTTAATTAGACTAAATCTTTGGAGCTATTCCTAATCTTTTAAATACTTATACTACATAAAAAATACATAACAGATTAGAACAAACACCTGTGCCTAGATTGGGGTGTTACAAAGTTACTTTTGTTCTACGTCTGCCTCGCCCGTCTCTTAGTCACTGACGCAAGTGTCGTTTTAATTATTGCGTTTGTTTCTAGTTCATATGCTCATTTCTTGATAGAACTATAGCCTATGTTTTATTCTGCAAGTATGGACCCCCATTGTATGAATTTTCTTCAGCTTAAATAAATAGGTATTCATTGTTTATGTCTTTCACCTGATAAGGTGTAGACCCCGTTTATATGAATTTACCCAAGCTTAAATAAATAGGTATTTATTGTTTATATCTTTGACCTAATCTCTGATCAATGTTTTATAGACACATATATAGATGAAAAATGAGAATTATATATATATTATTACAGTTTAGGTTTCCCTTGCGTACAGTGTAAAGGAATTAAACAGACAGACGTTCTTCATCTGCATCTATTTGAATGTCTGATATATCGATGAAAATGAAATAATATTCACGCATATATATATTTTTCATAATGTTAAATGATCTGAAATGTTGATTATCGTTTATCAAATGGCTTATTTATTTGAACGTACCATTTGGTCTTAATGAACATTGATAAAGTTCTTAAATAAATAAGACGACAATATTCAAATTATGCAGCAGACGACATCTGACTCGGTTGTTATTACGCAATGCCGAAAGTCATGAAAGTCGTAAATTGTATGGTACTATAAAAAAATATTAACCCTACTTCATTATCGACTCTTTGCCACTTTTCAACCAATCGGAAATTAATTTGCATTAATTTTGATTGTAGGCCTTTATGTCACATCAGGACGTAATGACTAAGCCCACACAGCACGAAATCAGGTCAGTTTGTCCCACATACCCATATAATAATATGTTTATGCTTCGTACATGGGCATATTATTATATGGGACAAACTCTTTTCGTATCTGTGGCTAGATTGTGTAGTTGGCAAAGACGTAAATAGAGCTGACAGTTTTGCAGTGTCGACATCGTTATCGAAAATATCCACATGTAGACCAAGAAACCATTAAAATGAGATAGACCTTGAACAGAAAGTTTGGGCAAAATTTCAATAGGTTCAAATTTTAAGAATGAAAGATATTAGGCCATTCATTTGAATTTTGCAGTGAAAGATTCCCCTTAAGTAAGGTCTATATAAAGCATCAATATAAAGGATTGGAGCAAGTAAGTATTATAAAGTCAATATAATACTTCCATGATGGGAGGAACTGGCATTTTGTTAATTAAACACCAAAAGTTCCCTCCCAGCAAGGACAGGCCCCGGACCTCAGACCCATACTAATTTGAACCCCTGTAAAAGTTTGTATCTCAATTGACTATTAGCAGTTAATCATTTTAAATTCAAACTGAGACCAACAATAAGTTTATTTAGATGCAAAGCATAATAGAACATCTACCTAAAAGGCAATTACAATACATCTTTGTTAAAAGAAGCATTAATAGTTCAAGTCATATTAAGAACTCCTGGGGGTTTCCAAGTTACCAGTCGGTCATGAACTGAATGTTGCTGATTCAGTGAAATTTAATTCTGATAATAAAACTATTTTAGACAGAATAGACTGACAGCTTTATGCTCACACAATTATATGTATCAGTTTGTCATTTAACTTAAACTTGCATTGTAAAATGCTAGAAACATATATTTATAGCATAGTTGTACGGTTGTATTCAACTCTTAGCCAACTGTGTTTTAATAGTAGTCAATTCGGTAAGAATGTAATCAAAGCTGTCTAGCAGAGAGATCGTGCAGCTTATAAATCAGCCCTTAAATATCCTTCCTGACAAGAATGACCTTTTATAGACTCGTTAAGATGTAAGTTAATCTCAAAACAGAAGAATTAGTTGTACGACTGTTTCTGTTTCTAACTGAAGTACCCAAAGTTAACGTTTAAGATATTCTAGAACAACAAAAAAATGATAAACTTATTCACACTTTTCTTTAACTTGGGCGATTTCGAGCTTAACATATTGTATAGAAATCTGTCTATTGTTCTAGACTTTATGTTGACCTCTAGATGTCCTTCAGCCTTTGTGTTATTAAATTGCTGTCTTATGGACGTATACCAAACATCTTCTTTAATTCACATTTCCTTCCCCTACGTGCCATTGGATTGTCTTTGAGATATTGATGAGCAAAATCATATATTCTTACAAGCACCGGAATTAGCCTAAATATTAACTTAGAATGACTGAACTATCTTTTCATGTATTTCGAGAACAGGGTTCGTCGTGGTAAAAAACTGGAAGAGGTGATTTGTTGTTTGGTCATTGATCACTATTTGATAGAGACGTTTGTCACAATAAAAACAAAATAAACTTCCTGTGCAGGTGTCCAGAATATGCTCTGGTCATTAAAATGATGTCAGAGGAACAAGTTATGTTACTTCTTTGTCAACAAATATTCTGACCGGTCAAGGAGAACTTTCAATATTTGTCCTTTTAATGTGGAATGATTGCCCTATTAGGTGTATATTGAAACAACTTATAATTGAATTACTTTGTTAAAATTATATGAAATGTATTTATTTAATTTCAATTAAACTCAAACCGTTCATCAAATATAGAATCGAAAGTTAAGTGAAAAATATTTAAACAATCTAAACAAACATTTGAAACTAATTTGGTTTATTATAATAAAATTAAACACTGTTATCGGGATGAGTACTGCTTTGATTTACAGCCATGAAATTCAAACTGTAAACTATTAGAAAATTTAAAGCTCACGTTTGATCTTTCTTTATAGAAATTAATATACATGATAAGTGCTTTTGTAAGACAAGGTTCTTAGAAGTGAACACCTATTTCCTTTTTTGTATTAGTTATATAAAGATAAACAAATTTTAAAAATATAACATATTTTTAAAAAAAAAAGAAGAAGTAAATTGGATTATAATATCAAACGACAATGCGTGTAATTTTTTCCAGGTAAACTTTCTGCAAAATAGCAGATACAAGATTGTATATATGACAAATCGTGTAAAACCTTTGAGATTGAAACACCTCCCAGTTTTTATACATGTAAATCATTAATCTTAATAACAAACGGGCATGAACGAAAACAAGTGAAGTGATATGTCCCTTGGGTATAAGTATACAGGTATACAAAACCGTACTTGTGCTGTCCCTTGGGTATAAGTATACAGGTATACAAAACCGTACTTGTGCATCTTTCAGTTTGAAATTTTGAACTCTGTTTTGTGCGTCACAATTCATATGCAAGACCCATTAACATGGGATGACGATTCAATGAATATTCTTTCAGATTTCAAACCTTTCCGAGAAAAATCATCGTTAAAATTAAATTCTTTTTTAATTTCTTTCCTAGTAAAGAGAGAATGTTAATAAGCTTATAGAAATGTTTCATAATTTTTTTAATCTAAACTAGCAAGTCTAAAATGCATATTAATTCTTATGTATCAATTTTAAAGGAAATGTTTGCATAAACAGGTATTTTAATATAGCTTTTGTGAAGAATTGTAGATTTGGAAGGTAAACATTTTTATGTCTTGATAAATGCCCTGTATGTGTACTGGAGGATGAAACAAGGCTTGTTCGAGTTTGAAATCGCTTTCAAATTTGTAAAGTGGCTATCATAACTTTGCAATGGAGAAGTGGTTATTCTCAATAGCGATCCTTAAGTTAGTTAATGAGGCGTTCGTTCCAAATAGTATACTAACATTCTATTATTTTGATATATTCTTGTACGAATTAAATGTCAGAACTAAAATATTATATAAGAATACTTCGTTTAGTAAGAATCTGCAGAATCCTTTTCGCAGCGTTTACAAATTGACATTTAACGCGAATGAAGTTGCAGTCCGAGGACATCGGCTTATTCGGTGAATTTTAAAAATGTCAACCATTTTCTGAACAAATGTCTTTGACCTTCTTGCCCTTTTATCGAAAATATATCGATAAATTACACACTAAAGGTAATAATTTGATTCAGGGTAATTGGTAAGTAAACGTAAAGTACATCGTTTTATCACTTTTAATGGCCAATTTATTTCGACATTGTCACTACACCATAATCTATTTTGTCTTGTTTACCGAACGTGATGAGTTCGTCAGACGGTTTGTTCGATCGTCTGCAAGGTTGCATGGAAGCAGAAGTTCCAGCGAGATTGTGTTTGAAGCAGACTGCTACTATTATGTAATCTATTATTCATGTATTTGTTCAACAGTTAACCCCTATAAGGAATTAACAGGAACTTATTTACTACTATCATAATAAATTTTGAATAGAAATCATAGAATCGTACTGTATTTGATATACAATAGTACCACATCGGCAGTTTCGATAATATTTGACAAGATGCATAATTGTGTAAATAAATATACTGTTGTATAGGGTCAACGACATTTTAATTTTGAACTGTATGTATTGTACTGAACTTTATAAGAAACAGGACGACTAATAGCTTGACATTTTGTATATACACCTGTCTATAGTTGATAAATGTATTTTAATTAGTCTACATGTCTTATTGTTTTTTTTTCCTGTGTTTTTTAAGTTTACAAGTAGATATAAGATCTTATATGCACTTATGTAAATAAAAATTGAATGAAAAACAACGCGAGGGACACAATAATGCCAATTTACTTAAAACATGACCAAAATAATATTAATCATTGCTGAACTGTTTGAATGGTGTAAAATACAAACTGTTTAAGTTTAAAGACACCTCTTAAAGGTATTGTTTTGCATAAGTCACAACACAGAGTAAATTTTTCCTACTACAAATATGCTGATATGCAAAATTATGTAATATAACGGTAGACAGGTCAGATCAAGGTAATTTTTGTATTTTTATCATTCAACTTTTGAATGACATGACAAGCGTATACGTATTTACTCAAATGTTAAAATCACCATAAAATATGTTACCATTAAAGTATAAAATAACACTTTTATCTTTTTGTATTCGAATATTATCTCTAAAAATTGCATTGATAGCTACATAAGGAATAAAACATAGTGTAGGCGATTGAAGATTACACAAATGCAATATAGACTGTGATAAACTTTTCTAGTGCATTTAAGTCAAAAACCTGTAGATGTAGACCTCCCACTGACATAAGTTCCTAGTAAAAAGAGCTTTACTGCAAAATTAGTGGTTTTTTTTGTATGTTATTGTTTACAAATAAATGAAAGTTTTAAGTGACCAGCTGATCCTTCGTACCTAACAGGTTAAACCGGTGCAAAAAGTTTGAAATAACAGATTATTGTTTAAATAACTGATCAATATAAAGACCATGGGGTCTATTCATAAACATGGATCATTTTAAAGTTTAGGATTGTACTTACTGTCGCCTCAAATTGTTCATATCTTCTTGTAAACTGCTGTTTTGGATTTCTAATTTGTTCTTGTCTCTTGTTAAATCGTCTATTAACTTTCTGGCTTCTGCTAATTCCTGTTCGTACATAGATTTGATAGCACTTGTTTCTTTTCCCCATTTTGTTTTCAAGTTTTCTAATTCAGATGCTAACTTCCTATTTTGGGCTTCCAAGAATCTCACTTTTTCGATATAATTTGCAAATCGCTCGTTTAGATCTTGCATATCTTTCTTTTCCTTCTCTCGGCTCGATTTAACAGTTTGAACTCCGGTGTTCGATACTTTTTCAAAGCTTCCTGGGCTAAGACCCCCCATTCCAGCTGATCGACCGATTCCATATTCTACAGTACGCGAGTAAACGGTTCCACCGCTGCCACCTCCGATACTAGACCTCATACTAGGTCCTCCAACTGAAGACCGAGAAACTACAGTAGACTGCCGAGGTTGTATTCCAGACTTATAGTAAATAGAGTCATCGCCATCATCATAGGCAGAAGACGAGGATGTTATCACTGTTCTCTTCTCAGTAATCCTCTCGCTAGACTTAGACATCTTGGAAGATTATTGCACACTTAACTTCTCTATTAGCTGAAGCGAAAATTGAAAGTGAAAGGACCGATTGATGAAGTCAGTCTCCTTATATATGAATGGGAAGAGCCTTCTAGCCGTTGTAACTACCTACAAAGCGCTGTCATTCGACGATAAACAACATCAAATTAATACGTTCACTTCCATATATATATTATGTTGAAAACAGTAGTAATTTATCAAACGATTCAGGATTGGTTTCAGTTGTCACGTGTTACAACACCCATGCCCGAAAACATTTAGTAAAATAAAAGTCTAAATGTGCTCTTGATATGATTCAACTGTAATTAATTCTTCACTGTGCAGGTACGATTGTCCAAAGTTACACGGGGATAGGAGACTCCCACTCTGAATATTCATATATGGCCTTGTATTGATCAAGACGCAGCCGACCGTTTTCGCGTTCTATAAATATCGTCTGCTACACGTTTAAACAAACAAGAAAGGTCTTAATCATAAAAATGTTTGTGAGGTTCTTACTCCCAACCCCGGAGCTTCGCACAGGTGTGATCATAGTAACTGAAAAAGCAATGCAAATAAAATTTATACTGTTACAAACATAACTTTTAAAATCCAGCCATTAACTTTTAAAACCTACAGGTATTCCGTAGTGTTCATTCAGTCATAAAATATAAGATGTGTATTGATCTACTTAAAGTCATTGATATATTCATCGCCTTTATAATCGTGTAACGTTAGACTTAAAAATCATAGATTTTACTTTTCAAGCAAGAAGATTGAATTTTTGATAAAAATCTTAAATAATGCGGACCGTAATACTTTTTTATGAGACAGTTTGTTGTCCAATGATAAACAAATATTTTAACGTCACGTACTAATCATATTTTAAGCACACATTTGATTTCTTCTTTTTTAAGAATTGTTGTCTTTTTACAATGCATAAAAGCCAATTGGTTAATTTCTCCTCTTAAATAAATTTTACTTAGATTTAAGGTAAAATAATCAAACAAACGCAAACACAAAAGACGGTTAAAATTTCTTAAAAATGTGTAAAACAGTTCCTCTTCTAAAAGAATTTTAGAAAAAACTGTCGTGAATAAATTTGGGTGTTTGTTTTGGGGAAACACTTTTATGAAACTTATACAGAGTTATAGGTGCCAAACCCCTCAGGCTAAGTTAACCTTGGCGGAATTTGGCTATACCTTTTTTTGTCCATTTTGGTCATATATCTCGGCGCGTATTAAGGTATTTATATATCCCTGGCTATGATTTTTTTCGGTTTCAGCGTTCATGTTGAAGGTAAATCCAGAACATCGCTTCGGACGCATCAAATTTGTATTGTTATTTTCATTTCTAGCACTGGAGCAATGGACTCTTAGGTCTCGAGGCTATCAACTATTATTCAGCTCAGTAGTCAGTGTTTTGATACTGACATGAATTATAAATAAATAAAATATTAAGAAACTAAAGTTCCAACTTCCAAGTTAAATGAACTTGGCGATTTTTTTAGGTACCTCTTGGTCATATAAATCCTCCGATATTCAAGTATGTTATATATCATTGGTCGATGAAGTTTATACCAGAAAAACGCTTCGGACTCACACAATATATATTTTCATCTTGGAAGGAATATTTATATATGTTATATTTTAAGCGTTTATGTATTGTAACCAGGACAACACCTCGTTTTGTGCTTGGTTTTTTTTTTAAATGTGTTTATTTCCCATTGTTTTTTTTTATTCCACATTTGTTGTGTACCATTAGTACCATAAGCGTCTGATGTTCCAAAATTGTGTCAAATAACGTTTGCACCACTTCAAACCAAAAGAGTTGATTTGGGGAATAGACATATGGTCACCTCGACATATTTGGCTGTGCAAGATGTATATATAACGCTGCCACATTGGGCATGCACGATTGGACTATATTGAATCCAAAGCTTTTTGTTGGGAGAGTGTCACGATGCTTTGCAAAATAAGAAATTTTACAATAACTCCATATTCATTGGCCCATGCGTGCTCTATTGCAAGCTACTATTGCTGGTAACCAACATACCCATTTCCTGTAGCAGTTCAAATGTCACCATCTTCATCCCGGTTGATCAACTTTTCACAACCTACTTGTACCTTATTATTTCATTGTTGAAGTTCTGGTCCGAATTTGAAAAAAAAAGAAATTTTCTACTTACCGTGCATCAAAACAAAAAGAATTCAATTAATTGTCGATTCGAAATTTTACTGTATTGTGTCCAGTTTGTTATAATATAAAACTGTAATTACTATAGATATTTAGCGCCTTTTCTTCTTATCATCATAATCATTTGAATTCCGGATGGTTGTGTGTTATCATTAAATTCAAACTTATCCGATCTTCTTTGCCCGAAAATTTAGAAAAGAGTTCTATATTAAAAATTGAATAATTGTCAAAAGGGAAAATATTGTCAATAAAATAAATCCAAAACAACAACAACAACAACAACAAACAAGTAATGAAATAAAAACAAAACAAAACAAAACAAAACAAAACAAGATAAAACAAAAAAAATAAAAGTTGGACGTGACTGGGTATTTGTACATCCCGCACAGCAAAACAGATCCGCATTGACCAGAGCAGATTAATTGTATATCTTATAGATCAATAATCAAGTTTGTGAACTATTAATTTAGATTAACCCTATAGATTATAGTTTTTGTTCTTTTTTATTACTATTTATTTTTTCTCTATAATTCAAATGGTATCCTTTTCAGTCCTATGATTGTTGCACTTTCAGTCAACTCGTAGATGAGAAACAAGATACTTCATTCTATGAGTAAATTATTTAGTTCACCAAGAATGAATTTTAAGGAAAACTGTATTAAATGAGCGGACCACTTGATCTTGTTTTCAGACATCATTTTAAAATCGGGAGTTATTTAAATTTTTGATTATTTTGCAATTACAACATCACGTTAATCATCATTTTCATATTTGACATTGAAGAGAGCCTATCGACATGACACCCGTCATTCCGATTTCAAATGATATTTCTGTATACTTGAAAAATCTTATCTGATTTTTGAAAATATCGAGAAAGATGGTTTAATGTATGATTTCCATATGACTTTTTTAAAAATATATATGAAAACATAATAATAATAATATCAAAATGAAAAAAAATACTTTCCATTATTTCCGTTTTGGTAAAACAAGTGACCTCAGTTGTAATGTAAATTTCCTAGTAAACAATTTTATAACACAAATATAAAAAATTCCATCTACTCTTAGACGATAAGTGCGTGATTAACACGAGAGAACGCGAGTCTTTGAAAATGAACCGGTAGTTGAATTAGATAAAGATGAAGTCAAGTCAAAAACATTAGACACCAAAATCAGTTTCAGTGAAAGACAAAAGTATAGACAACATCAAACCTTGGTCGGAAGTAATTGTTCGGAAGTTGTCCAGCCACATTGATTTGTCGTCTTCATAAGAAATTGATTGCAGCATCTACAATTCCTAATTACAAAGGACACCTGATAGATCAATCATTGAAACTTTTAGTAAACCGCTGAATCAGCTTTTTAAAGCTTATTACCTCACGGAATGTTTATTGTTACATCAAAGATTTTTTGCTTTTCTGGTAACACTTCCTAAATATGAAACTTTTGTTTATAGTTTTGGCAATTTGTGCGTACATTTTATTTATTTCATGGAGCCTAAAACATGCATTATTAAAAAGGTTGATAAAATTGTTCTTAATAATTAAGGACAACTTCCTTTACATATAATTGAAAAAATAAGAAAACACCAAGAGGAAATTAAAAATCATAATAATAATAATATATGTTATTTTGTCATAATTACGTCATTCATGAAAAAAAAACTCCAAATGCAAACAAAACTGTACAATCATAGTGAAAAGAAGTAAGGTTACTTCCACTGTATTTGTTTCAATCAGAAGAGCAAAATATGCAAGTTGTCGAATCCTACTAGAAATTGAATGTTAGAGAATCTAGTCCTTATTGTTCAGTGGTTGTCGTTTGTTGGTGTGATTCATAAATGTTTTTCGTTTCTTGTTTTTTATATAGATTGGACCGTTGGATTTCCTGTTTGAATTGTTTTACACTAGTCTTCTTTTTTTTGGGGGGGGGGGGGGGGGCCTTGATAGCTTGCTGTTCGGTGTGAGCCAAGGCTCCGTGTTGAAGGCCGTACTTTGACCTATAATTGTTTACTTTTTACACATTGTGACTTGGATGGATAGTTGTCTCATTGGCACTCATACCTCATCTTCTTATTTATACTTATACTTGAAATAGAATTTTCACAATTTTGCCTTTTCCAATAAAATCAAAAAGTTATTCAGTGTAAAATGTTGCTGTTGTCAGAAGCAATTTATGAAAATCGCAAATTTTGTATGTATTTGTATCAAAAAGACAATACATATAACTTTACTTCAAACATAATTTTTGGGTTTTTTTTTAAACGATGTCTCTTGTACATTTTAGGGATAAATACTCGAAATTTGCAAAACTCTACCAAAATTGAAGTTTTAGATATTTTTCAGACGTTTATAATTTGATGCCCGGTTTAGACATAAGTTAAATATTGTTCGAATCTTAAATTGCACATACTTGGCTGTGATATTATGAGTTTAAGTATCTATTGATAAGTTTTTTTTGAAAATGGTCCTGGCGTGAAATGAATTCAGGGGAATTTGACCCTAATCCTTTATTGACATTTTGATCTTAAAATACAATATAAATAGATTGATCTGTAAGTAGTATCTGAACATTATATATAAAGCCATTGTCATTCATGGTAGTTAGCGATTATTTTGATGATTCAGTTATGATTTATTATAACTGCCAAAGGTCGCTGTCAATTGACTTATAATATGTATCTGTACTTTGTCTGAATTCGGAACCTTAAGCGCTATTTCACACCTTCATTTAGCCTAGACAAATACGACTATCACTGAGCTACACATGTCTACGATTTCTACAAAACTCTTAGACGGTTACCTTTCCATTGTTCTCCTAGGATTGTTGTTTGTTTTGTTTGTTTTGTTTGTTTTAATTAATGTTTTTTAGCCTTAATGATCATAGGTTCAATTTTCAGCTATATTGAACATAGGTTCAATTTTCAGCTAAAACGAACATGGTTTCACCTATAAAGTATTCAACTACATGTATGCATACACTACGTAGATTAACTTTTTTTTTAGTGAGAGAGATGAGTCTGTCTCGTGTGGAATAGCTATTGGTTGCTGGCTTTTCCGGTAAAATAATACACGTTATTTTATTATTACGCAATTAGAACTAATTTCTTTCCATTCTGGTTACACTTTTCGGATTTTATGTATGTTTTTTTTTTTTTATTTAGCTTTCTAAAGTTTTGGTCTCAAGCACGCTTATAAGATTATATCAGAATATGCTATTGGTATGATATGAACTATTGATTCATGATGTTTAACGTTATTTATATACTAGTATGTTGTCCAATCGCTAGAGCAAACTTTAATAAGTGGAATACATATCAAAAAGTAAAAATCTTGAAAACCTTATTTTACTGAGTTATAAGCGCATTTCTGGATAAACTTTCACAAAGAATGCTTAGGGTAAAATTTTTGCAAAGACAAA